GGTTGTGTGTGGGAGAGATTTTATTAAGATAAACAGTAGCAGCTAGCAGGCACCATTCAAAATCCTCAGAAGAGGACCCGGGAGATGCGAGGAATAGAGAGAAAAGCAGCTGCTTCTGCATATATGTTTTCATTTTATCTTTAAAGCGGGGCAGCGGGTTTTTTGTTTTTGTTTTTGAGAGAGAGAGAGAGAGATGCAGGAAGACATGGACTGCAAGTAAATTAAGGGAAGGGAAGAAAGGAGGGAAGGAAAGCTGCAGGTCCCCTAAACATTCCTCAAGTTTCCCCAAGGAGCTGCAGCTCACCGGTTGAAAACCAATGGTTTATTATGCTATGGTCTTAAAGCCTTCAGGCATTAACTAGAGCTAAGTGTCCTGGACTGACTGGATGAAGAGGAGTGGTGGGAGGCACCAGCTGGGGAAGCCCCAAAGGAAATCCCAGAGAAGGAAGGCTCAGAGCCCGGGGACTGGCGGTGGGACACTGAGGAGACGTCAGATGGGGAAGATTGAGAGGGCCTGCTGGATACTGAAGGGACAACAGGGTTCAGTGAGCAGAAGGAACCTGTGACAGGGAGAAGTTCGGACTCTGAGGTTGAGGCAGAAGGGAAGGAGTGTCAAGGGACTGCTGAAGAATCCAGAGAAGCTCCCTCTCCTGCTGCGACAAGCTCCTCTCCCCGATGATCTCCAGGAATGCACAGGATAATGAGGAGGGCAGAACAGGGACCGGAGGTGCTCAGACGCCGTTTGAGACTTCTTGGGAAACATCTGGGAGAGCAGTCGTCTTAGGAGGGGTAGAAGGCAGGCACCTTCAGCCATGGCAACTGCTCTATAGTGGCAAGACCGACTGGGGAGTGTTGCTGAGTTACATGTTTGTTCTTTGCATAAAGAGTTAACTTCTCATTGTGTGAGATTGTATGGGAAAAATATGGAATAACAGATACAATCTTGCTTAAAATGCATATAGGAAGTGCAGTGTAAGCAATGGAAGTCAATCAATGAAATTTTATTATTATTTTCATATTGAGATATTTGTAGAATAAATTTGGAAGAAACTCTTCCAACTTTTCTTCTTCTTTTCTCTTTATTTTTTCTTCTTTTCTCTCTTTTGTTCCTTTTTCATCTATATGTGCCTATTTGAAGTGTATATGTGTGTATGTATTTGCAGCGTTTTGCTTATATTTTTGTAACAATTATGTTAAATAAAATTTAAATTAAAAAAAAAATTTCACTGACAATGGATATCTGTTTCCTTTATTGCTGACCTGCATCTGACTCTAGCCATGATACGAAGCATGCTGGTTATATGAGGCAGATATTTATACCACAAATTTTAAGAGGGAGGGGGAGGTTAGGTTGGTAACACAGCCCCTGTGTTGCATGCAGAAGGACCTAAGTTTAGTCCTGGGCAATTCCGGGGGGGGGGGGGGAGAGACCTCTGCCTGAAAGTCTGTAGAGCTGCTGCCAGTCAGTGTGGATAATATTGAGCTAGATGGACCCAATGCTCTGACTCTGTAGAAGGCAGCTTCCTAGGTGGCTGCTTCCCTGGCAGCAAGACCTCTTGAACTCTATGATCAAGTGAGCAACCTAAGAAGTACCTGGCAGGGGGAGCCTCCACCCCTGTTGCCTGTTCTCTCCAGTCTTTCACAAGGGGCCTGGCCTGAAAGGGATAATTTCTCTCTCTCTCTCTCTCTCTCTCTCTCTCTCTCTCACACACACACACACACACACACACACACACACACACACACCACTCCGTCTCAGTGTGTACTCAGAAGTGACATATCTAATAAGGATATGGTTATTTCTTGATGTTTCATAACTCTGTGGCTCCTATATGATCTGCCCAATCACCAGCATGAGCAAGCAGTTACCAAAGGGTGATTGGTTGAAGGGTGATTGGATAGCAGAGCAGGTAGAAGAGATATCCACCCTCCCTGCTTTAACTCATGCAGGATTCTTGGCAGTAGCTGACAAAGAGAGAGAGAGAGAGAGTTCTGAGAACCAGATGGAGATATCTGAAGGACTACTTTAGGGAAAAACACCAAAAGGGGCAGGCACTGTGGTGAAAACCAGCATTCATATCAGAAGAGAAATTGTTTCATAGATTACATATCTGTTTGGAGTGTCAGACTGGGGAAATCAATAGTTCAGACACCTGACACACGAGTTGGTTGAGGGTCTCTCTTTGCTGAAGTTGCAGCACTGAACTGACCCTTCCAGGACACAAGCCTGGGCAGTGTGTATGGAGCTCATGGGCTGCCCAGATGACCAGATCCCCCTCTTGGGCTCGCCGTTGGGGTCCAAAGGAAAGCAGGGCAATATGTTTGGCCCCAACTTGGCTACAGGAGTTGGTCAAAGGAGGCATACAAGGTGTCAGCCAACCGCTTTAAGGACTCCACTCCAGATTTGTGGCGGAAATGTGGGATACAAATGTAAAATAAAATAAGTGAGGAGCATATGATGTTTTTACTCAGGTGCTACTGGGGAGTTTTGTCTGATGCAAATCAACAGTTCAGCATTTCTTCAGGAGAACATGGAAGTTTATTTATATAGCTACCTCCATTGGAAATTTGATTTTAAGTGTTTGCCATTAAACTTCAGTGTGGAGGTGGCAAAAATATCTCTCTTTGGCCTTACTAAAAATGCATTTCTCTCTCTCAAATCTTTTGCAAAGGGTCTGAGAGGGAGAGAATTTGGCACATAACCCTGTCTTCTGTATCCAAACCCTGCCAGCTGTGGGAAGACAGGGACCTTCAGTGTCCACAACTGCCTCATAGAGGTATGACCTACTGAGAAGAGTTGCTGTGTTCATTAGGCCTGGCACTCCTGAGCAGACCTTGTTTCTTCTAAGGAAGAGTAAACTTCACTTGCTCTATGTGATTTATTGCTGGGTCGCTTCTGACACCATCTAAAGGGTTGGGGGGACATTCCATGGTCTATGGTCACCCAGCTTACCCCTGTTGTCTGAGGAAACCCCCAGCAAGCTTAAGAGAAACACCAGGATCTCTTAGAACACTTTTTCAAAAAACAGCTCTCTGTATTGAGGCCACTAAATCCACCACATTTTAAATTGCATGCACCAAATGTCTCCTAAATCAGTGTCTCCTTTTGGCCAAGTAGAGGCAACACAATTTTGCAGAGGAGGGTTTGAAGAAAAAATAATAATCTGCGGCTCTAGTTGCTGAAGCCTCATAGGGGAATGCCTCTTTTAAATAGATGCATTCTTCCATTTATTGTATGCAACAGAATCATGGAATTGTAGCGTTGGAAAGGACCCCAAGGGCCATCTAATTCAACCCCTGTAGAGAATGCTACTTCTTACAGTAGGATTATTGGCCATGATGGCTGCAGCTGATATTAGGTGAAATCCAATAAATATGGTTCCCCACCCCGATGTAAGAGGTGGCACTCTCACAAGAGAGTGCTTCTTTTAAAATAGGGACTTTCCCCCATTTCCTGCATGCAAGAGGAGAAATGCTGCCTCTTAGATCAGGACTAGGGCAGGTGTGGCCCTCCAGATATTGCTGAACTAGAACTCTTATCATCCGTGACTATTAGCCATACTGGCTGCTGGAAGTCTGGCTATATATGGAGGGCACCATGTTGCCTCCCTCTGCTTTAGATCATATCCCACAACTGTGCCAAGATTCTGAGAAAGACACGCAGGTGATGGGAGCATCTATGTGTCTCAAGCAGCAGCTCTAGCATTCCTGTTTGCCTGACAATCACAATCGCAAATGGATTTTCAGTTCCTCTCCCATCTATAAACCAGACTTCACATGATCTTACATAATCTCCCATCTTCCATCTGGCCCCAGTTCAGGGGTAGTGCAAAAAGAACCAAACGAGAGCAAACAAATCAGGGAATTTACATATTCTTTTTTTGTCCATTGGTACAATTATTTTAAAAATGTTTTTTCTTCTTCAAAACCAACTAAAATATATGTACAATATTCTCACCACATCATCATCATCATTAAAGAAAACTTCCTTTCTTATTCACAAATATATATTGTGGTGACAAAGTGGGTCCATAATTAATTACAAACGAAATAATCCCTTAGATTGGGGGAGGGGGAATATTACATCAGTAAACAAACATACAAAAGAAGAAGAAAACCCAGCCCCCTCCAACCCAACCCACCATCCCTTTCCTCCCCCACCCCAAGAAATGCTTTTCTTTTCTTTTCTCAGAATTCAGCACAAAGGCAGCAAAGGCATTTCAAGAGAGAGGTGAGCGCTGCTCCGGTTTCATTTTTGAAGGAAGTATGATTTGCCTTCACTGAGAGGTAAGCAACCAACAACCCTTAGTTATTTCATTACTCTGGCAGAATACCCTCCCCACTTTCCTCTCTGTTTTCCAAAAGCTGAGCAACAGAACTGCAAGGCTGTAGACTCCATGCACATCTTATTGGAAGCAAATCCTACAAGGAAGCCTGACGGCTGAAGGTGCACAAAAGTAGGAGTTCAAAGGTGCTTCAGTTTATGCTTTGCTGGCTTCTCTGGGCTGCTCCCTGCAGCAAGTTCCAAGATCAGTTCTTTGCATTTGGTAACAGTTATGGATCAAAGAGGCACCCAGAGGCAGGAGAGGTTGGTTCATTGGGGCACAGCCCCACCAACCCCTGGTCAGTCCTCATGCCTGTCATCTTCTTACTTTCAAGCCAGACTGGGATGGGGGTGGGGTGCTGGCTATCAGCTTCCTCCTCTTCCTCCAAGCAGATCCTCACTAAACAGTTAAAGCACATTGAATAGGCATTTAAGAACATGGCTACACCCCCAAAGATTCATGGGAACTGTAGTTTCACCCTCACAGAACTGTACAGTGGTACCTTGGGTTACAGACGCTTCAGGTTACAGACAACGCAAACCCAGAAATAGTACCTCGGGTTAAGAACTTTGCTTCAGGATGAGAACAGAAATCGTGCGGCGGCAGCGGGAGGCCCCATTAGCTAAAGTGGTACCTCAGGTTAAGAACAGTTTCAGGTTAAGAACGGACCTCTGGAACGAATTAAGTTCTTAACCTAAGGTACCACTGTACTTCCCAACAACCATAACAAACTACAGTCCCCACGATTCTTTGTGGGGAAGCCATGCATGTTGAAATGTGCTTTGCATGAATGCAATGGATCAATCCTGTGCTGTCCTTGCAGAGCTCAGCAGGGACAGTAGGGATGAAACTAGAATCAGCTGCCTCTGCCTGTCAATGCAATCCCTAAATATATTATCTCTTAAGTGCACCAAGCACCTCTGGATGGGAAATGAACTTTGGGGGGGGGCAGGATTTAACTGCCGCTGATGGTGCAATCTGGGTAAACAGGGTGGGATATTAATTTAGAGAAATAAATTATTTTAAGGTGACGACTGAGCGAGACATGTTGAGTTTTAAGAAAACGAGTTGCATATTTTATTCAGAACTGACAGCCCTTATCAAATCCTAACCCTTAGGGTGACCAATGTTTGGACGTCAATGGGTGATTTAACACTTCTCTCTTTCCAAAAGAGCGAAAACTGTGAAATTTGCTGATTTCTCGATTGGGTGTGCCCTGAGGATGTTCTTGGACTCCAGCTCCCAGCAGCCTCCAGTAACCAGCATGGGATGATGGGAATTGTAGTCCAAGAACACATGGAGGACCCTAGGTCGGGTGGGGAAGGCTGCTGTGGAGCACAAGCCCCAGAGAACCAGCCTGACATCCCCCAATCACAAGGGAGAAAATCCACTCAGAGATGTGCAAGGGAGCATTTTTCAGAGCCACATTCCCTCATAGAGAACCTTCTAGGGAACACATCACAGTGGTTGGCAGGGCCAGTAGTGGAAGCTGGTGGAGGGACAGATGCAAGTCTTACATTTCTATGGCAAGCTATATCCCAGCCATGAAAAAGGCAAGTATTTGTATGTCCAACTTTCACCCAAACAAGAGGCATTACCCCACTGCAAGGTGAGATATCCAGTCAGCCAAACCCACTTAAGGTGTGGAGTAAGCATTGTTAAATGGGGACAGAGGTGTGTGGATGTGGAGTGGCCTCTGGAATGAATTAAGAGGCTTAGATGGCCACTTTCAGCCCCCTGGGGTCTGAAATCCCCCACCCCTGCACTAAGAAATGAGGATCAATGTCACACTCCTTAAAAGTGAAGTAGAACCTGATGAACAAGGTCAGACGCAGGTGATGCCTCACCTGTCTGGGCAACCTTCCAGGAGTGACATTCTCAGGGTTCCTCCTCACCCAAATTGAGTAGGCAGTCCTTTTATGCCAACTGGGGAGGGAGTGATGCCTGAATGAGAACAACACAACCATGGCCCTGCCCCCAGACACCGATTCATGCCTGTTGAGTGTGTGAGATCAGTCCCACATACCATCCAAACTACGTCTGTAGTCTGTGAGAGGACTCCCTCCATTGTCCTAATGCCAGAGTCCCCAGAAGCCTTGAAGAAATCAGGACTCCCCTTCTCCATCGCTCCCCACCCAGGAACAAGAGACTCTCTCCAATTCCAGAGTTCCACCATGCCATCCCTGTGGTGGTTTTGGTCCAACCTTCACTAAACAGGCTTTGTAAATCACCCCTAAGCCATGTGTCACAGAAGGCTTCCCTCAGACGCCCCACAACTTTCCAGAAACACCACCCAACTTTGGATTTCAAAATCTTATGTACAAGTCAAGCCATCAATGAAAGATAAAGCTAAACTGTCTCTCCCAACCCCTCACCCACAGAAAGCACAAATGCGCAAAGAATCCCGTTCTGTTGCATGTCCATGTGCGTTTGTTTGCTTGTTTGCTTGCACCCCATTTGTTACAATGGGCCCAACAAGAGGCTTTTGTCTTAGTTGTTAGTGCCGGAAGAGGGACAGTCGCTTTTTCAGAGCCCCAGAAAAAGGGCTTGTTTTGGCTTTCCACTGGGCCAACTGCTGACAGCGCCTGGGAGCTCCAGACGTCACTGGACACCCTCTTCTTCAACGTAGGTCGAAGGGAACCAACCAATCTGCAGTGGGAGATGGAAAGCAGCAATTAAAAAAACAACACCCAGAGTGAGACCCAGGTATCTATCCACTCTTAAGAAGGACCCAGCTACCCATGTTAAAATGTAGAAGGACCCAGTTATCCCCAAAACCAGCACGCACTCTTCCATTGGTTTCTCCTTTCCACCAGCCCTGGTCCCCGCCTATCCGGCTGTAGATCTTCACAACGTCCCCTTCTCTCAACGAGAGTTCCCGCATGTCCCGCGCAGCGAAATTGTACCTCGCCACCGCCGTCCCTACGACCCGAGGTGTGAATACTGCAGGCAGACAAAGAAAGGAAGGATGGTTAGGAAGCATTGTGGTGCTTCACATCTGCCAGACTCTTTCCTGAGCACAGCTGGACCGAGTTCAACCTGACCTCTTGCATCTGCTGTAAGAGCAAGGCAGCACAATTTCACCTTGTGCAGAGAAGCACATAGGTCTCATTTGAAATGTGTCACAGGACATTGTTAAATTGGTTTGTGCCTACTGCTCTGTGGGAATGGAATAAGATTCTTGGATGTTTTGGGGGGGAAAGTGGCATGTGAATTAAGGCACTGATGAAGTGCTGTGCAGATCATACAGTGCTGGGGTGAGGAACCTTCTTCAGCCAGAGATCTGCATTCCCTTGCAGACAAGCTTTCAGGGACCACATTCCAGTGGCTGGTGATTTGCCAAGGCCTAACACCAACACATGCATCTCACCAACCCTGAGGACCCACACAATTAAAATGCACGGTCACAGTTCAAGGGAGCATTCCTACCAGGCAAAAGCAGTCAAGGAAGGTGTGAAGCAAGGCTGAGGTGAGGGGGGTGGCTCAGTGAGAGGGGTGGGTCTGGTGAGAGTCCCGAGGGCCAGACAGAGAGGTTTGGAGGGCTGCATTCAGTTTCTGGGCCTGAGGTTCCCCACCCCAATATTAGGTAATTCTCTTCTTTGCAATGTGGTCCTCATTCAAAATAGTTAAAACGTAATTACTGCAGAAAGGAAAACTCCGCCAATTTTTTTTAAAATTGCAAATGTGCTGGAAGAGGAGTGCTTTTTACAAACATGCTTTAAAAAAAATAAATCCCTGGTGAAGTCGCCCTGTGCTTTAATGCATCCATTCAACAAGCAGAGGTTGAATTGCGTTCCATGCAGGCTGAAAAGTGTAGTCTCTCTAGACAGGCTTCTAAATGTGGGATCAGGAAAGGATGCAATGGATATGCCTCTGAAATGTGGCAATGAATGGGACACAGGGACAGCTTGTGTTTGGAGTCCAAGATGACACAGGATGAGTGCAAAGGCAGCAAAGGGAAACAATCCCACCAGGACATTCAATGCCCCACTGAAACAAATGGAAGGCGCATCAGGTCAGGACAGAGAATGCTGGTCAGGTATTTTTTTTGCAAAGAGAAACATGGAGGTTTCCACAGCTATCCAGTAGGAAATTCAGCTCAGAGAGAGACTTGTGTTTTGATCCACCACAGTCCAATACTGCCACCAAGTTCTGGCTAAATGAAGTCGGAGGTGAGCTTTGGGGGAATTACTGGGCAGGGGAGAGGTGGAAATAGCTCCCCCCCCCATAATTTATTGTGCATTTTCATGGTCAGCCAATGATATTTTGCTGCCAGAAGCAAAGGACAAGAAGGTTGCCCCCTCCCATGAAATGTACAGAACCTGCCCCCCGGCCAGCTGTTTAGGAGGTACAAGCCAGATCTTGTAGCACACAGAGATTTGTTCTGCAACTCCTTGATGCTGTCTGACCGCCCACAACCGCCTCACTCTGCCTAATGGTCAGGGATGACATGGGGGGGGCACAGATCCACACCATAAATTTAAACCACAACCAATATATGTTTAAAGTGCATGGCTTCCACTGGCAACTGCAGTTTGTTAAGGGTGAATATTTTATTCATTTGTTGCATTTATTTATTGCATTATATCCCACCTGTTCCTCCATGGCTCTCTCCCCTCCTCATTAAATTCCCACAACACCTTGCGAGGTAGTTTAAGCTGAGAGGTGGCGGCTGGCTCCAAAGCCGCCTGCAGTGAATGCCACAGCCGAGTGGGAGATTTGAACCCTGGACTCTGTGGGGGGGGGGAACTACAGTTCCCAGGATTCTTGAGTGGGGGGAGCCATGTGTTTTAAATGTGCTTTGAATGCACATTAAAAGTTTGCTGTGGATCTGGCCAAGGACCGATGGGAAAGCCCTTTTCTCTTCCAGGTGACCAATGGATGAATGTCTTCTGGTGGTGGTGATGATGGAGATGGCAACATGCTGCAATTTCTCAGGCTACCACCAGAGGCCAAGTTCCTCTCTCTTTTCATGCACATATGTATACATACAGATATCTAGATATATATATACACACTAACAAACACATATGTATATATATATACCTGACCAGAAAGGAGTGGAGGCATTCTGAGAAGTGAAGTTGTGGCCCTGAGGACTGAGAAAGGAAAAATTGTAGGAAGCACAGGCAGCTGCAGAAAGGTCAGAGAGAGAAACAAAGCAACGGGAGAAAGGAAGGAAGGAAGAAAAGGGTCGGAAAACACAATTAACGAGGGAAATTAACAAAGGCGGGGAGAGAAAAACACGGCACAAACCCAGTAAAAGCAAACTCAGAGCATGCAGAATTTTTTTTCCCCATCCCCCCCCCCCAATAATGATAATAACTATGTTTTATTTTTTGGAATATCAAAACATTATCATTGGATCAGACCAAGGCTTATACAAAGAGTCTGGCTGCTGGATCAGGCCAATGGCCCATCCAGCCCAGCATCCTGTTCTCACAGTGGCCATCCAGATATAGAGGCCTGTGGGAAGTCCGCAAAGCAAGACCTGAGCCCAACAGCATCCCTCCCCTCCTGCAGTTTGCAGAAACTGGTGTTCAGAAGCATTGCTGCCTCTGGCTGTGGAGGCAAAGAATAGCTCCTCTGCCCTCAGAATTTGCCCATTTTGGCCTGGAGCAAGGAAGAGGGGAGCCTGACTGCCTTGGACTGCTCTTAGGGGGCAGAGTGAGATACACACATCCCATAGGACCCACTCCCCACAAAGTATATAGCATGTTGGAGGAGTTTGGATTTGATATCCCGCTTTATCACTACCCGAAGGAGTCTCAAAGCAGCTAACAATCTCCTTTTCCCTTCCTCCCCAACAACAAACACTCTGTGAGGTGAGTGGGGCTGAGAGACTTCAGAGAAGTGTGACTGGCCCAAAGTCACCTAGCAGCTGCATGTGGAGGAGCAGGGAAGCGAACCCAGTTCATCAGATTACGAGTCCACCTCTCTTAAGTACTACACCACACTAGCCCCTGTAGGTTTTGGGGTTGCATGCAATGCTTGTCACACTCCAAGCAAACCCACTGAAACTGATAGGCATGATTAACTTAGGTAGGTACAACAATTTCAATGGGTCTACTTCGAGTGGAACTTACTTGGATGCAATCCTTGGCCTGTGCCTTGCAAGCAGAGGGTTGCTCTACTGTTGAACTAAGGACAGCACCCATAACTTCCCTGTCCTGGGTGTTTTTTTACTCTCAAGTGATTAAGCGAAACTGATTGAAGGAAGGGATTTCAACTTCCTTTTATTACCTGGTGACCGAGTCAAGGTTCTGGAGGTAGAGCGTTCCCGGCACTTGTAAGGGTATTTCAATGTTGTGTCCAGTTGTTTAAAACTCTCCTTGAGTGAGTGAGCTTGATAGTATTCAACAAGTTCCTACAAGGGGATGGAAGAAATTAAAACAAAAAGCAAAACTGTAAACTTCTTGGAAGAGGGTTCTCTAAATATACTTTAGCCACCAAGGCAGGCATACCCGGCCAGGTTCAAGGTGTTATTTTCAGTACACAGTCGTACCTTGGCTCCCAAACGCCGCAAACCCGGAAATGAGTGTTCCAGTTTATGAACACTCTTTGGAACCTGAACGTCCAACGGGGCTTCTGCAGCTTCCGATTGGCTTCAGGAGCTTCCTGCAGCCAATCAGAAGCCGTATTTTGGTTTCTGAACGTTTTGGAAGTTGAACTGATTCCGTTCGACTTCCAAGCTATGACTTTACATTATTATACAGTCAAACCTCGGTTTTCAAACATCTTGGCTATCGAACGTTTCGGAAGCCGAACGCCGAAAACCTGGAAGTGAATGCTTCCATCTTCAAACATGACTCGGAAGTTGAATGGCTTCCGAGGTGTGTTTCTCCATTTTTTTTCAATGGATTTTGCTGCCAGCCCTTTGATCCTCGGTTTTCGAATGTTTCGGAAGTTGAATGGACTTCCGGAACGGATTACGTTCAAAAACTGAGGTTCCACTGTATTATTATATATTCATTTATACCCTGTCCTTTCCCCTGATAGGGGCTGAAGGGAGGTCTACAGATGAAAACAAGGATTGCTAAAAACATAGAAAAAACAATAATTAAAAAAATAATTAAACACTGATAAAAATTAAAACTATATACACGAGAGCTTTCCAAACTGTGTGTTGTGACGCATTAGTGTGTCGGCTGCAATGTGTAGGTGTATCGTGCAAATGCTCCCCGCACTCCTCCCAGGGCTCGGAAAGGAGTTAGTTAAACCTCTGGTTTGCTAGGGAAACTGATTTACCGTTTCATGAAATGAAATATGTCTAAAAAGTGTGTCTCCAACATGCAAAGTTTGGAAACCTCTGATATATATAAATAAAATTTGTTTGAAACATAACCAGTTACTATCATAAAAACAGCATGGCACCAGCCCTTTAATCAAAAGCAGTCAGTTCCCCAAAGCCTGTGGGAACAAGGTTTTCGCCTGCTGGCAGAAGGACAACAAGGAGGGAGCCAGTCTGGCTTCTCCAAGGAGGGAGTTCCAGAATCTGGGAGCAACCACCAAGATGGCCTTCTCCCGCAGCCGAAACCAAGTGGGCTTGTGAAAGTGGTGGTACCAACAGAAGGGCCTTCACCAAAGATATCAAAACTCTGGCAGCTTTGTATGAGGAAATGGTCTTTCAGATAGCTTGGACCCAAGCCAGGTGGGGCTTTATAGGTCATAACCAGCACTTTGAATTGTGCCTAGAAACAGACTGGCAGCCCCTTCACTTGAGACTCGCCACTTATTGACACCAATAAGTACTCTTTGTACTCTTTTCAAAGCCTGCTGAAAACATTTTTGTTTGGACAAGTCTCCCCAGATGTTTAGAAAGTTGATACGAGCATTAATGTTTTTAGTCTATTGTTATTTTGACTTTTCAAAAGTATTAAATTATTGTATTGTTGTCAATTCTTCTTTTTCGTTTATCTATTTTTGTGAACAGCTCTGAGGGATTTTTTTTTACAATCAACCAAGCTGTGTATAAATTTTATGAAATATGTAAATAATAATAATAATAATAATAATAATAATAATAATAATAATAATAATAATAATAATAATTTGTTATCTCCAAACAAACCATACCAATAAGCTTTCAAATTTTTTTGCTTCGGTGATGTGAATCCAGTTGTCTTTTTCGACCACCTTAATGTGCTTCACCTCCTCATTAAACCTGCAGGGGGAGACATGGAGTTGGTGAACCGGAAAGATCACAGTCAGATTCGGGTGGTTTGGAATGCCACAGCAGGGGTCGGCAGCCTAAGGCCCATGGGCCACAAGCAGCCCATGGGGGTCATTTAACTGGACAATGGACCCCCGCTGCCAGCTCGGTCAGCTCCCGTGCGCCAACTAAACCGGCTTGCAGCAGAGTGGGGACCGCCTTTCACTATGCTGGCTGCCTTCCCATTGGCTGCAGGAAGCTCCTGCTGCCAATGGGAAGCTGCATACGGCTCCTCCGCGCTGGAAATAGCATTTGCGCATGCGTGCACACCGGCCCACCGCGGCGTCTGCGAGACAGTGAACCGGCCCAAGTCACAAAAACTTTGACAACCCCTTGCCCTACAGGAATGGTGGTGTCCTAAAAAAGGCCTATTGACCACATGGGGTAGGCAAATCTGACTCTCTTTTTTTCAGTTTCCCAGAAATATTTAAGAAAGAAGGGATGTGTTGTTATGTGGGGTTAGTGTACGATGTAGTTTGGAAATTGGTGGTTGTGGAAGCTTCAGTCCACTACAGTCATACCTTGGTTTTCAAATGTGCCTAGTTATCAAACATTTTGGCTCCTGGACGATCGAAACCCAGAAGTGACTGTTCCGGTTTTCGAACATTGTTTTGGAAGCTGAACGTCTGATAGGGCTTCCGATTGGCTGCAAGAGTTTCCTGCAGCCAACCAGAAGCTGCGCTTTGGTTTTCGAAAGTTTTGGGAGTCATACGGACTTCTGGAACAGATTCCGTTCGACTTCCAAGGTACGACTGTATTTTGATTCAGAATTTGCATCCTCAAATTGTATCCAAGGTCAGACAAAAACCTGCCCCTTGATCTTGGGAACTATCCTGCAAATTTTGGTTGCGTTATCAAGGTGTTCAAATGCAGAACGAGCAAACACAGCTTACAAAATGATATAGTTTATGGGGCAGTAAGATTGGGGTTGCCAGCAAAATAATACCCAGGGCTCATTCCCCGCACAGGGCCCATACCCTAACCATGTGCCCATATGCCAGGACAGAAGCATGAGGTCCTTCTCCTTGCCCTACAGATACAGGGGCCTTTTTTGTTGTGGCCCTGCCCAGGCAGAAACCCCTCTCCTAACAAAGCTGGTGATACAACTGCAACCATTCTTGCACCCGCTGCAAGGAACTACACCCCATCTCAGAACAAACCTAATTAGATCACTTACTTAATGCTGATTGCAAAGCGCTCGGCCTCTGCCGGCCTCTCCCGGATCAGGTACGTCCCAGTAACATGCAGCTTCAGGAGATTGTCTGTCTGCTGCCTTTCCATGTTTCCTGCAAACCTGAAAAACAAAAAAACATGAAATGCTCATTTACTCATTTGTTTTTGAGAGCTGAATTTTCTAGTTTGGAACCCCTACTTTCATTTCTCCAAGTTTCTAGCCCCTGTGGCCAAGCAGTAACTTGTATGGGTTTATTAGCAATTTGTATTTACACTACATTAGCATTATTTCAGCATTTGCTGTTGTTTAGGTGGTCTGCTGTTGTTGCTTTAGTTTTCTGTACAGTGGAACCTCGGGTTGCGGACGTAATCCGTGACGGAGGCACGTCCGCAACCTACAGCGTTCGCATCCTGCAGCGCCACATCTGCACAGGCGCAGGCACGATTTGGCGCTTCTGTGCATGCGCCAAAATCTGGAAGTAACCTGTTCCGGTACTTCGGGTTTCCCACGGTCCGCAACCTGAAAGCACGTAACCTGAAGCATCTGTAACATGAGGTATGACTGTATGCTGCTCCGAGATACGTTTTATATATTAAGTGCTACAGAACTCATCTGAAACAAGTTATCAATAAGGTAACTTGAATAAGTAAGTTTTAATCAGTCCCAGCTGGCATGACAATTGTCAGGGGCCAATGGAAGTTGGATTCCAGAAACACTTTGGCTACTCCAAGTACTCCACTTTGGCTATGCCAAAGAAAAGCTGTGAACATCCACCTTTAGGTCTCTTGGTAAAAAGTAAAGGGTAAAGGGACCCCTGACCATTAGGTCCAGTCGTGACCGACTCTGGGGTTGCAGCGCTCATCTCGCTCCATAGGCCAGGGAGCCGGCGTACAGCTTCCAGGTCATGTGGCCAGCATGACAAAGCCACTTCTGGTGAACCAGAGCAGCGCACGGAAACACAGTTTACCTTCCCGCCGGAGCGGTACCTATTTATCTACTTGCACTTCATGATTTCGAACTGCTAGGTTGGCAGGAGCAGGGACTGAGCAACGGGAGCTCATCCCGTTGCGGGGATTCGAACCGCCGACCTTCTGACCGGCAAGTCCTAGGCTCTGTGGTTTAACCCACAGCGCCACCTGCATCCCAGGTCTCCTGATAATGCATGCCTAATTTGAACACTGGAACTCACCAAGGATAGGCAGAGTAATCCATCTCTCGTGATGGAGGCCGGCTGTTAGGAGGCTGCAGAAAGCAGAGCAGAAAAGAGTTACGCAAATAGTGGCATCCAAAGAAGGCAAACAGTGGTGGTTGTTTTTTAATGAATCACGGCATTGTATAGTTGGGAGGGGTCCCCAAGAGTCATCTAGTCGAACCCTCTGGAATGCAGGAATCACAGTTAAAGAATAACTGAGAGATATCCGTCCAGCTTCTGCTTGTTGTTGTTTAGTCATGTCTGACTCTTCGTGACCCCATGGACCAGAGCATGCCAGCTTCTGCTTAGAAACCTCAAATAAAGGAGAGCCAAGCACCTCCCAAGGGAGTTCATGGACCAAGTATAAGTGTGTAAGTTAATGAGTTATTAGCTGTGAGGAAGATGAAATTGGCCACATTGGACAATATGTTAGCAACATAACTGTGCCCTTAAGTGAACGTAAGAGGCCTGCAGCTGGATCAGGCCACAGGGAGCCCATCCTGTTTCATGGTCACGATCCAGGTGCCCCAATGGGAAGAAGCCCAAAAGCAGGACCTGAACACAACACAATCTCTCACCATTTGAAAATTCCGAGCAACTGGTGTTATTCAGAAGAATACTCATCATGGCTAGTAGCATGCATGCTGATTGGATTATTTCCATGCCTCCCCCACCACCCCCGTATGTTTGGCTGAATGTTCCAAACTAAGAAACACAAAACCTCTTGATTTGTTTTTTCTCAAATTATACACTGGTTTTGTCCGGTTTTCTAAATAAAGTTCTGTCAAGACTTTTCTCCCATCTGCAGAAGTTAAGTGATTCTGCTAACATTCCTGTCTCCTTACTCTGGCATCCACTGGGCAGGGTTTGACCGACGAGCTGGGGAAATAACCAGACTTCTTCGACAATATTAGCCTTCCCTGCAAACGAAGACGAGAAAAAGAGTCATAGGGCAGAGTCATAGCAAGAGTAATAAAAAGAAATTGTTATTTAGAGGAATTTAATTGAATTCTAAATTATATACCGGAAATGTGGGAGATTACAAGGGGTCAAAAAAAATGGATGCACTGTGCCATATTAGAAGCAAAAAATCTTGTTTTGATGAATTGGAAGAGCCGCAAAAAGATTCCATTGAGCACACGGATTGATAATATGGACAGACTAGCTACATACGAACGAATTGCATGTCGACGCAAATTAAGAATGGCTAAATATGAATAAATCTGGAAGGAATATTTAAGCGATAAGGCGGACAGTGGTGGGAAGTAGGGGGAGGAGAGGTGGGGAAATATTGTTAAAAAGGTGTAGTCATAGGTATATCAGTACTCAAATCTGAAATGTTAAATTGTGTTATTAGTGTTATTGTGGTTTTTGTTGTATGTAATTTTTGTGGTTGTTGTTTGTATTGAAAAAAACTTTTTTTTTTTAAAGAGTCACAGGGCAGAGTCATAGGGGGTGCTTTTGGCCTCAGAGAGTCATAGCTTCAGTTAACATGGACCAGGAGAAGCAGGACCAGGAGAAGACCGCAGTGCAAGCAGGCTGCTGGGGCAAGGGCTGGGGAATTATGCTACCCATCCAAGTTGCCCAAGAGGCCACTGTTCTGAAGCCTCCAACATAACACCCATGGGTGAACTGACACCCTTGAGGTCCCCCTTGAGTCATGTCAGAAATCAAGAATGCTTTCCAGCCAAGCAAAAATGCTCAAGGAGGGTGTGGCCTGGGAAGACTTATGGGGGCCATACAAAGAGGTCTGGAGGGCCAGATTAGAGCCTGAAATCCCCCACCCTGATCTAAAACTAAGTTGCAAATCAATTCCATTGGATGCAATGGCTGAGCTTGCGCCCCATCTTCACCTAAGATCTCCTGGATGTTTCTAGAGGACCTCCCAGCACTCACCTCCCACCACTGTGATTCTGGGTCCCCTCGGAGGAGCTCAATAACTTCTCCCGTTTGAAATGTCAAGACGGGCTTCCCTGGGGGAGCTGGGTTGCCATGGTAGTTCTGGACTGCCACCATTTTGGGACCTGCATGTAGACAGAAGGAAGGAGAAGCCATGCTGAAGTTGGATGCAATTAAGTCAGTGAATGAACTTCTATCAAAATGTCGTCATCATCATCATCATCATCCACTCATCTGACTGGGTTGCTCCAGCCACACTGGGGGGGGCTTCCAGCAAAATAAAACATCAAACATTAAAAATTTGCTATACAAGGCTGCCTTTAGATGTCTTCTAAAAGCCAAAGTTGTTTATCTGTTGACTTTGCCGTTATATGCAGGATTCTAAGGCTGATATTGCTTTGGGGCAGCCTCATTTATTTAAAGCATTTCCCCTTTTCGCTATTTGGCCAATGAATAAGTAAATAAAGATTCCCAGAGTAGCCTACAGGTCAACTAGAAATAAATAAATCAGTCTCTGCCCTTGGGCTTATATTCTTTTTTTAAAAAACAACCTAGCCTATCCTGTTTAATCCTGCCTTTTACTTACAAACAATGAGGACTAGACTATCACTTTAAGGGGGGAATAGTGCAGCTGCTTTGCATACAGAAAGTCCCACGTTCAATCCCTAGCAGCATCTCCAGGTAAGGCTGGGAATATCTCCTGTCTGAAACCCTGGAGAGATGCTGCCAGTCAGTGTTGACAATACTGAATTAGATAGACCAACTCTTGGGGTATAATGCTAGTATTTAATTCTACCCTTATTCAGAACAATGAGGACATGAACCTCATTTATATTCTGCCTAGCTCAGTGGCAGAATACCTGCTTGGCATGCAGAAGGTCCCTGATTCAAGCCCACTGGCATCTCCAGACAAGGCTGGGAAAGAGTCCCTTGCCTGAAAACCTGGAGAACTGCTGCTGTCGGTGTAGGCAGTACTGAGCTTGATGGGCAAGTGGTGTGACTCAGGATAATGCAGACCATTCACCCATGCTCTGAGACACACACCAGGGATGCAGCTGATCTGCTCTGCAGTCTACTGTTCCTCATCTCACTAAGCAGCTGGAGTATTTTGAGAAAAAAGAAAAAGCACCAGCAATAATAATAAAGAGAAAATAGCAACCTTACCCATATTCAATGAATCCTGGAGAAACAGACAGACAGAAAAAGAGAGAGAGAGAGAGAGATTTTAAAATTGTATACGATTCTTTCTGGGCCACAAAACATCCTGCTTGCTGTAACAACAGTTCACACTTCCTCTGTCTTCCCTCTGAGACTTAATATATATATATATATATATCGCAAAACAGGTACAAACCTTGTCAACAAACAAAAAGTTAACTCTTGCTTAATACAGGGGTGGGGGCCCTTTTTCATTCTGGGAGCTCTTCCTAGGGGCTGCATGCTAGTGGTGAGTGGGGCTAAAATAAAAAGTGGGCACAGCAGGCAAAAAAGGGGGGGCAAACAAAGTACAGGTGGACGAAATTCAGCTATGCAAAAGCCAGAGGTTTCCCCACATTTTGCCTTGCTTTCTCTGTCCTCCATCGGAGCAAAGAGAAAAGGCGTCAAGTAGGCTGGCACTGGGTGTGCCTGTCAGCAGAGCCAATCTGCTGCTTCTGCTGCCACACTTGGACAGAACTGCCCTCCCTGTCGTCATCTCAATTTTCCCAGTATGTGGCAGTGACTTTGCAGGAGTGAGCGACTGCTCCCGTCCCCATCTCCATTGCCCAGTGATGCCAGTGCACAAAGGAAATGAAATCACAGGCAGTTGCAACCAGCAGATAGGAACATCCTTTCCTGGAGAGAAGGCAAAAAGAAGTGATGGATCTTACCTGGTCTGCAGGTGAACCTGAAGATTTGGGTGGGTTGGGGAGAAATGAAATGAAAATTCTGATTAGCTTGAGCAGGAAACTCCACATTTCAGTTTACACAGTGGGATGAAAGGATCCCCAAACCCCAAGAGAATATTTACTTACTTACTTACTTACTTACACCCCTCCCTTTTCCCAAGAAGACATACACAAAATAAAAGAACACAAACAGAATACGAAAAGCTAAAAGCATATAAAAGATAATTGTTAAAAAGGAATGAAACTCATTAATAGAATTAATACAATATAAATATCAAATATATTTAAATACAGACAATAAAAATAGCACAGCGCTATTTCAAAGCCCTTTCCTTAAATAACAACAAACAATAATTTTTTTTAAGTCCTGAAAAGCCTGAGAGAATAAAACAATCTTCACCTGCTGGCAGGAGAACAACAAACAGGGAGCCAGTCTAACTTCTCTAGAGAGGGAGTTCCAAAATCTGGGAGCAGTCACCAAGAAGGCCCTTCATAACAAAAGGGGCAGTGTATTGCCTGGGGTGGCTGCTCTGAGGCTTTGTGGGCACCAAGAAAGGACATCAAGGGTGCCATTGCACTCACAAGTGCCATGTTAGGGACCGACAGATCATTGAGGCAAACCACAGTTGTGAAAAGCGGCTTCCGCATAGGAGAAACTTACTGATTTTGCAGGGGGGAATAACTTCCAAGCATTCCTTGTGAGCGCCAACTTTGCATTTCACACACTGATAACCCTGGTAGAAGGTCCCTCTGTGAAAAGAGGAATTGGGGAGGGTTAGGAATCACAGCTGAATAATCCATGACAGATGACCCACTGTTAAGGTAAAGGGACCCCTGACCATTAGGTCCAGTCATGGCCGACTCTGGGGTTGCGGCGCTCATCTCGCTTTATTGGCCGAGGGAGCCGGTGTACAGCTTCTGGGTCATGTGACCAGCATGACTAAGCCGATTCTGGAAAACCAGAGCAGCGCACAGAAACACCGTTTACCTTCCCGCCGGAGCGGTACCTATTTATCTACTTGCACTTTGACTTGCTTTCGAACTGCTAGGTTGGCAGGAGCAGGGACTGAGCAACGGGAGCTCACCCTGTCGTGGGGATTCGAACCGCCGACCTTCTGATCGGCAAGTCCAAGGCTCTGTGGTTTAACCCTCTGTTAACCTCTGTTAAAAACCTCCAGTTAAGAAGAGTTCACCACTTTCTAAGGGAGTCTCATCCACGGTTGAATGGCTCTTATCATCAGAAGGTCCTTCTTTAGGTTTAGATGGAATCCCCCTTCTTGTAATTTTCCCCACCATCAGCAGAGACACAGGACCAGATACTTCTCATGTACCCCACACCACACCAATTTACCTGCATTCACTTTAGGTGTTTCCCCTTCTCCAAGCACAGAACAGAGAAAGATGCCTTATACAAAATCAGACTATTGGTATATCTTGTTCAGTACTGTCCACTCTGACTGGCAGAGGCTCTCCAGGATTTCAGGCAGGGCTATTTCTCAGCCTTACCTGGAGATGCCATTGGAGAATGAACCTGGGTTCTACTGGATGCAAAACTGACAATCTACCACCATGCATCCTTTCCCTCAAAATAAAATACGATTCCAGTCTTAAATGGAATCAGGCCATGTTAAGTCTATTTAGCTCAGTACTGCAGGATTTTAGGCAGGGGACAATCCTAGCCCTACCTGGAGATGTTTCTGGGAACTGAACCTGGGAACTTCTGCATGCAAAGCAGCTGCTCTGCCACTCAGCTGTGGCCCGTCCCCAAGTCATTTAGTCACTGCCATTGTTGAACCACTGGGAGTCTGCAAGCCTAGCGGCTCTGTTGCAAATCACCCAGAGATCTGCCAGCAGCTGCCAAACCACCTCCCACCCAAAATTGGTTTGGATAGTCACTTTCCAGCAGAAGAGTCCCCTTTCACCTGAGAAACATCTTGCATGCTTTACAGTTTGTCGTCTTGTCAAAGGTGTACATCTGGAAGTTGTGGTTGTTTGCCATGGCTTTTTCCGGCTTGATGTTCGACCTGATCCAAAGGGAAAACGAAAACAGCTAATTTTTATTTTTAGTTCTCAGGACTATTCTGATCAGCTTCAATAACACTGCAGGCTTTTCCAACTTATTCAGGAGGCTTCTGTGGGCACCCTGGGGATCACGAACCCAAAGTTCCCTGATAAACTCAGCATTTCAATTGTTTTGTTTTAATCTCTAAATTAAAAAAATTATTTATTTATTTTAGTTGCATTTATTCCTCTCCTTTTCTTCAAGAAGCTCAAGGAAGTGCACACAGTGGTGTACAAGGTTCTTTCCCTCCTCGTTTAATCCCCACAAGAACAACTCTGTGAGGTAGGTTAGGCTGAGAGGCAGTGATTGGCCCAAGATGAGCTTTATGGCCAAGTGGGGATTTGAACCCTGCTCTCTCCCAGGTCCTAGTCTGACATTCTAACAACAATTCAAATGACAAATCCCATAGAAACATTGGACAGGGAGATCCTGGGACATCTGCTCCGAAAGACTGGTGGCACCCGCTTTTAAAACCCTTCCCTTAACGATATACAGAACAGGAAATAAAACTAGGTAATGTCAAATTGCCTCAATGTTGCCTATTGTCGGGTCTTTTACTGGCTCTGGGGTTTTGCCGGTGTTTCCTTTGATATGTGCCAACAATACTCTTCTTCTTTTAAGTGCCCCAATACTCACATGGCCATTTCGAACTGTTCCATCCACTTCCTTTTCATGTCTTCTGTTTTGCAGAAGAATTGGAAGCCCTGCTTGCCTTGGAGGTGAGTGAGGTAGAAACCGTACGACCACTACCAAGGGAAACAAGAGAGAGCAGTGGATGCTAAAGCAATCAAAATGGTTCCTCCCAATGGAGTCTAGTCCAATCAGGGCAAATGGGGAGCGCTGTCCCGCCAACCTCAGCCTGCCCTCAGCCAGCCCCCATCTGCCCTCCTTCCTTCCTTACAAAGTGTCCCTTATTGACGTGTTACAGCGATAAGATAAAAATTGAATCTGAATGTGTGGACGCAGCTTACCATTTTTCCATGCAACTGAGAAGCATGAGAGGGGAAAGCAGAGACACCGTTTGTTAAAAAGAGGCTCCAGAGTCTAGCTCACCCGTGTTTTAAAGAGAGAGGTTGGCTTCCAGGAGCAGGGAAGACTCAACCTCCTGCCAACCAAGCCCTGCACCCCAAAATATAGATGATCAAGAGGCAGGGAACTAGGATGGGCACATAGCCACATCAGAAGTCCTCCATTGGCCACATTTTGAATTTGAGGTCAGGGAATTTTTACGTTCTTAGATCTGATCAAAAATATGGAGGAGCGTTCTGCCCCAAAGGGTTACTAAACCCAGCCTACCTGCCAAAACTAAGCATTTCAAGACCCTACTAGGCAAGGGAAGCTCTTTCCATGATGCCATCACCAGGGGATTCCAGTCATGGGGTCTTTTTGATGCTGTCCCCCCTTTTCTATAGAATGGCCTCACTGGCAAAATGTGCTTGATTCCCTTGCTATTGGCTTTCAGAGGGATTTTAAAATATTTGTTTTCACCCAGGTCTTTGGTAGTTGAAAAGACTGTTTCTGGCAAGCCTAAAATAATCAGGGTAATATGATTGCTTTTAGAGGTTTGTAAAAATTTCATAAATGTTTTAATTTTATTTTTTAATTGTATTGTTTTAACATTTTGGTGTTTGTCACCCTGGGCTCTTCTGGAAGGACAGAATAGGAATGTAAATGCTAATAATGTGGGTTTGGGGGTCAGTCTGGAGGATGCCCTGAGTCCCTACCAATTCCTGTACCCAGTGAGGATTAGAATTCAGTAGAGGAGTTTGCCGAACTAGGGAGAGAAGTTTCTTTGTAAGACAATGACCTTAGCTGGCCACTTGAGGGTCCTCATCCGCACCCCAAAGGAGGAGCTTGTTGGTTGCAAAAGCCGCAACAAAGTGATGGTGCCCCTCTGGCTAAGGTGTGGGTCTTTCCTTCACCATCCACTCCTTGTTGTTAGGTAAGCGAACAAGAGCCAGAGTGGGCTGTGAGAGCTGAGCTGAAAGCAGGCTGGAGGCTGGATACACAGAGACCTGCTTGCTCCGTGCTGGATCCAAAGCTGTGACTAATGGAAAAGCACTAATGTGAGCCCCTCCATCCTATGCTCAGGTTGTACAGATGTGTAAATGAAACCATATATCCCAAGGGCAACCGCAGTCTCAGCTAACCCTCATTGCAAGGAAACATAACCTGGGTAAGTGCCTGGAAGCCCTGGGGTCTCTCACCACTTAAGAGATTGGGATGGTGAGTAATCATCATCATCAATAATAACAACAACCTTCTTTATATCTTTATTGTTCATCGGGTCATCCGTCATCTTGTAGCAGAACAGCTCGATGATATCCTTCTGCTCATAGTTGTAGCCTTTTCGTTTGCAGACGATCACCACTTTGTCAAATAAAAACAAGTACCTGCCCCCACACCAAAGAAAAAATACAAGGCTTGAAAAACACATTTTTCAACAGCATTAAAGTAATTTTGAGTGTCACTCTCTTCCCATCCCTTCCAAGGTAGCCTGGGAACGTTACATCCACATCATCCATTTAAAGCATATTTATGCCACTTTTCACAGTTGTGGCTTCCTCAAAGAACTCAGGGAAGTGTAGTTTACACTTATTGCACTACAATTCCCAGCATCCTTAGCAAACCAGAGTTCCCAGCCTTATTTGGTGAGCAGAAGCCACCTGCTTGTTCTGCTCTTCTCTCGCTTGCTCACCTATCCTGCTTCGTATGGTTCACTATTGAGCGGACCTTCAGTTCACCGTCTATTTTGGGCCTCCCATATTCTTCCAGTTTCACTGGCTGTGGGGTAACACAGGAAAGTGTTGAGAGAGGGGGGAAACAAAAACCTAATAATAATAATAATAATAATAATAATAATAATAATAATAATAAATTACTTATACCTCACCCATCTGGCCAGGCCTCCCCAGCCACTCTGGGCGGCTCCCAACAGAATATTAAAAACACAGTAAAGCATCAAACATTAAAAACTTCCCTAAACAGGGCTGCCTTCAGATGTCTTCTAAAAGTCAGATAGTTGATTATCTCCTTGACATCTGATGGGAGGGTGTTCGATAGGGCGGGCACCACCACCCAGAAGGCCCTCTGCCTGGTTCCCTGTAACCTCACTTCTCGCAGTGAGGGAACCACCAGAAGGCCCTCGGAGCTGGACCTCACTGTACGGGCTGGATGATGGGGGTGGAGACGCTCCTTCAGATATACCGGGCTGAGGCCGTTTAGGGCTCTAAAGGTCAGCACCAACACTTTGAATTGTGCTCGGAAACAATAACTATCAAAATACCCAGGAGCAGCCTCAGATCTTGACTTCAAATCTTGCTTAAGAGGGAATCCTGGTTAAGGCTAGCAGGAGAAAGAAAACGGGGTCAGAGAAGCTCCTGACCTGCTGTTTATAAATCCCATGGCTCCCAACCTTCTGTGGTGTGTGATCTGCTATTAAAGCTGCTGCTCTTTGCTTTTTGCTGCTGTTGGTTCTGCTTGTTTTTGTTCTGTTTATAGGTTGTGTTTTTATGTTGGAAAGGGCTGCAGCTCAGTGGCAAGCCTACCTTGCAAGGAGAAGGTTTCCAGAAAGGCCTGGGAATGTCCCCTGTCAAGGCACTGGGCAGTCGATATACACAATATTTTGCTAGGTGGGTTGAGGGTCTGATTAATAGGAGGCAGCTTCCTATGTTTCTGGGAAGGGTCACAGCTCAGTGGAAGAGCAACTACTTTACATGCAGAAGGTCCAAAGTCCAATCCCCAGGTGCACCTCCAGGTAGGGTTAGGAATGCCCCTTCCTGAAACCCTGGAGAGCCATTGCTGCCAGTCAGTGTGCGCAACACTGAGCTAGAGGGACCAAGAGTCTGACTCAGCATAAGGCAGCTGCTTCCTTCGTCCCTATTTAATCCATCCCTCTATTCAGAACTATGAGGACTAGACCCTCAATTTACTTTTTAGGGGAACAGCATTCAGAAGGTCGCCAGAATTTTATCTCACCAAGTTTTCTATGGAACTCTGAAATTCACTTATTTTCTTTAACGTCTCCTTGTCCCGCTTGACTTCGTTTATATACATGGCCAGGTCCTGAAAAAATGAAACACACACACACACACACACACACACACACACACACACAGCTGGCTGTAACATTGTGATCTGGCAGAATCAGCTGAGAGCCATCAACACAATAAGAAACAGTGGTGGACAGGCACGCATACACTGGCTTCAGGACTGCCCCGTTCATATATTTTTCAAAGGTTCAGTTCAGAGAAGGGCTATTCCAAGACACAGTGGATGCCACCCCCCAGAATCCCTTGCAATGCTGCAGGGGTGGCCACAGGTGGGGGCAAAGGCTGCATTGTTTTCTATTTTGTATGCAACACTGATTCCAATCAGTTGCAGTGCATCTTCCTATTCACCTCACTGCCTGCTGTAGCAAAATTATGTAACTTATACCATTTGCACGATTGATTTGATTGATTGATTGATTATTTAAACACACCATAGAACTGGTTTTTTTAATAAAAAAAAGCATCGTCTGGTTTACAAAAAGATGAAACAAATTATCAAGAAGAAAAAAAATAATTTAAAACTTTCAAAAAGTTAATATGGCAACAGACTAAAAACAGATCAAAACCCACACAAACTTCCTAAACATCTGGGTATGTTTGTCTATGAGCAAAAATGTTTTCAGCGGGTACCCGAAAGAGTACAGGCAAAAGCACCTGCCTGGTGTCACTAGGCAGGGAGTTCCAAAGTATAGGTGCTGCTGCACTAAAAGCTCAATTTCTTACAAATTTGGGATGGGTATTACATGGTCCCTATAACAGGGCCAGTTCTGATCAAAGCAGCCAAATGGGTACACAGAAGGTAAGGTGCTCTTAGAGGTGAACTGGACCCAAGTTGTCATGGGCTTCATATACTAATTACTTAAGTTATGTCATTATTACGTTACTGTACCCCACGGATTTCAGTGGCAAAGGAAGTGCAATGAATGGTGTCCAGTGCTAGCCCTGCTCAGAGTAGACTCATTGACATTTATGGGCATGGTGAACTTCATTTAATGCAACCCAATTTGGGGGAGGGGCGTAATCAATTATGTATCATTTGCGAACTGAAAGTAGCAAGAACAGCAAATGCTGATTATATTTGATGGATTGATCTCTGTTCTAGACAAGGGATGAATAAGCAAACGTCAGCAATTGCTGCTCCCATTTCCATGGGAATTCTTAGTCACAGGTTCCTCTTGAATGGAGCTGTGGTGCTTTCACGGTGGTGCAGTTCAAAATTGATGAAATTTGTGTGGTGGTTAAAGGGCTGGGACTAGGAGTCAGGACATACCAGGGTTCAAACCCCCCCACTAAGACTGACAGGTGCTCACAGGCTGATCTTGCACCAATCACTGTTTCACTTTCTCTCTTTCAACCCAGTCTAACTTACAGGGTTGTTTGTGAGGGAAGGACAGGGGGGTGGGGGGATGAGACATAATGCTGCCTTGAGCAACTTGGATAAAAAGTGAGACACAATAAATATAAAACAAAAAACAAAAATCCAGTCCCCTAAATGTGCACATTGCAACAGGGGTTGCTTTGCATTTTACATGACACCGCCAAAATTTCATGCAGAAAACACATGCAGCACAGTGGTGTCTCTCACCACACTTGCATGTGAGCTTGCCCACTGGCAGCTTGTGATGACCTGCATAGAATGTTCAGGGGTGTTTTAAGGTTTGCCATTGTGAGAAATACAATCGCTGAGCAGAAGGGAGCCCTTGGTCACAGTGCTGCAAATCCCCTAGTGGGCAGGAGAGGGCGGCAGATGGTGTAAGGCTGAGGAAAGAGAGCAGCACATTCATTTTCTGTACCGTTGTGTGTGTGTACCACCAGAAATAAATTAAACAGGCACACTTGTGAGCCTGAGCACTCATGCAGAGAACAGGCTGCCCGTTGAGTCCCTGTGCAAACTTTGACAGCCTCTAATCCAGGCTTCCTCAGCCTCGGCCCTCCAGATGTTTTTGGCCTACAACTCCCATGATCCCTAGCTAGCAGGACCAGTCCGTGGTCAGGGATAATTGTAGTCTCAAAACATCTGGAGGGCTGAAGTTGAGGAAGCCTGATCTAATCTTTGCCTCTCCCCTGCAGTGCATACATATTTGGGGGCGGAGTCCTTGGTGATTATTTTTGTCCCAAGGGGAAGAAAAAGAGGAAGAACCTGCCTTCACAGGACGCTGCCGAATATTGTCAGTGCTCTGGGATAACCTTCCCCCAAAACCAGTATCTCGTGCAGAGACACTGGGAAGAAATGTAGGCAGCTCTTGCTCTAAGACTGTAATGCAGCCTTCAACAACTTGTCCTTCTCCACATGTTTTGGACTACAACTCCCATCAGCCAGTCAGGGATGATGGGAATTGCTGTCTGCACAATCTGGAGGGCACCATGTTGGCAGCCTCTGCCCTATTGTATCTTTAGAATGTGTGCATTGGGGGGGGGGTGCGCGCGCGCATACCACTTCTTTTCATAGTCTCCCACCTCCTCCATCTCTCTCTCTCCCCCCCCCAACACACTTTCTGCCCTGTCAGTTCAGATTAAGTCAGAGGGATGGAGACTTTCCCAAGACAAGCCCTGGGGGTGCTGACCTTCCACAGCTTCCCCAACATAAGGAAGATTAATCCCTGGCTGAAGTGACAGTGCTTGTTAAGGGTCACACAGTCCCAGGGTTTCAAACACTGAGTGGCAGCAACAGTTAGCAAGGCAAACAACACCCAAAGCGTAATGGAGTGAGCCAAGAGTTGCCTGTGGCCACCATCTCCTTGCATTCCAGGAAGTGGCCTATTTCAGGAGGGTTCGGGAATCCAGGGAGAGCTTTCAAACCATGTTTCGAGGGACCTCAGGGGCTCTTCGGGGGTCAATCAAAGGTTCAGAATGTCAGGGAGATGCGTCCCCGAAGGTAGTTTGTCCAGGGCCTGATGACTTCCCAATGTGCAGCCTTAGGAGCCTCCCTTCATATCAGGGGATGCCACCTCCAAGGAGAGCCAGCAATATCCTGCCCTCCTTACCCATTAGACACCTATGGAAGACCTTTATTTCAAGAGGCTTTTAAATGTTTCATGGAATCACAGAATCCTAGAGTTGGAAGGCCCCCGAAGGATCCTCTAGTCCAACCCCATTCCAAAGAAGAATCACAAAAAAATTCATTGCTTTTAGGGATTTCATGGACCACTGCATTTAAAGTGACATATTTTGCTGTGGCTTTTTTTAGAATTTTGAGTACTCATTGGAATCCATTGGCAGACGCTCAGTAGCCTCAGTGTCTTTGTTGGAAATGTTTAATATTCTCTTACTGTGGTTTAGATATTTGAACTAGCTGGGATCATTGGACAGGCTTTAACGACTGATGTCTTAATTGACCATGAATAGAAAAATGTTGCAATGTCATCTGTATTATCAAAAGGAGTTATTCCTTTGGACTGGAGCATGGCGCTTTGAAAGGAATTACTGTAGCATTTAGACTGTTGCTGTGATGGTTTTTCAACTTGCATTGTTTCCTGTTTTGCTTTGAGCTGCTTCAGTGTGGAAACTCAGCAGAGAAAACCATAAGTTGATGCAGAGGTGAACTGAACTTCAGCTTGGAAAAGAGAAACAGATATGATTGACAGATTAAGTTGATAGATCAAACTTTGGGACTGTGGACTTTGGAGCATGAAAGCCTTGCAGCTGGGTCCATCTGGTCCAACCTCCTGTCCTCACAGTGGCCAGCCAGATGCCCCAGTGGGAAGAAGCCCACAAGCAGGACCTGAGCACAAGAGCTCCCCTCCCCTCCTGTGGTTTCAGCAGCTGACATTCAGAGTCACACTGCCTCCAACAGCGGAGGTCAAACACAGCCATTGTGACCCTCCATGGATTCGCCTATAAGAATATCTGGAACTTTGGAAGATTAGGAACAAGTGTGGCCTTGAAACAATACACCCCACCCCAATACCTGGTTAAAAAAAAACTGGGGCTCCTACCTGCATCGCTTCCAAGGCTTCCTTGAGCTGCTGCTTTTCTGGCCGATCCGATGAATGGCTGAGAAGCTCCTGAAAGGAAACTGCAGCATGTCAGAGGCATGTTGATGCCTTGCTCCATCCCACAGTGTGAGCCTCACATTGGAAGCCAGCATCAGTGGCAAACTTTCTGCAGCCACAGAATCACCGGCAGCAGGGAAGTGAGGGTGTGTGTGTGATGACTCCACCTCCACTGTGTATTGCTGCGAACCAGAAGCCTGTTACAATCATCCAGCAAGTAACCCATGAGGGGTGTGTTGTGGCAGCTCAGCGAACCCAGAGCTAACAGAAGGAATTTCATGCATCAGCAAATTATTTGCAGGTTTCTTTCCCCATCAGCTAATTGACCCTCCTTGCAAAACAATGAGGATCAACAAGCCCATGCTTCACAAAGGCTCCATTGCATGGAGACGCTGGTGCAATTATTAACATTTAAAACGACGAGCAAAAGAGGGTGGAGGGAAATAAATGTGGTGAGGGGAGCTATGCATCCTTTCCTGGAAAAAGTGTTTAGCAGCAGCGTAGCTCTTAATTGTGTCAGACTAGGACCTGGGAGATCAGGGTTCAGTTCCCACTTTGCCACGTGAAGCTCACTGGGTGACCTTAGCCTAGTTGCTGCCTCTTGGCCTAACCTACCTCACAGGGGTGTTGTGGGGAATTAATTGAGAAGTGGAAGAGGAACCATGCATGCTACCTTGAGCTCCTTGGAGAAATAGGTGGAAAAGAAATGCAATAAATAAGAAAGGCGTATAGAGCTTGATGAGAGAAAGGGGACTGGGGTTTCAGTGGAGTCCCAGGCTAAGCCCCAGAATCTATCTTCAACAGTCCTCTGTGGATTTGCAGGGGGGTTCCCTCCTGCTGACAATCTTGCAAGTCCACATACCGTATTTTTCTCTCTATAAGACGCACCCGACCATAAGACGCACCTAGTTTTTAGAGGAGAAAAACAAGAAACAAGAAAGCAATGCAAAGCCTTTTGAGCGAAGAGGCAGGAGTGCTCCGGCTGCACTCAAGAGGCTCTGCATGGCTATCCCTGAAACCAGGAGAGCAAGAGGGATTGGTGCGCACCCTGAGCCTCCTGGGCGCAGCCTGCACTCACTCCATAAGGCGCACACACATTTCCCCTTACTTTTTAGGAGGGGAAAAGTGTGTCTTATAGAGCAAAAAATACGGTAGCTTGTATTCTTCCTTATTGCGGAACAGAATCTGCTTGAACACGAAATACCCAGGCCCTGACTGAACAGGCTCCACGTTTGCACGAGAGGTATTGCTCTTGATCAAACAAGTGCCAACACAAGCCTCCACAGGCCTACCCTGCAGGGACAACTGGGGGCTGAGCATGCTGTGCAAGGGGATGCTAGGGAGCGGGGCTTACTTGCCACCTTGCCTACCCATAGACACAGCTTCTGCATATTCAGGTAAGTGCCTCAACTCACTTTATGGGAGTTGTTGAGCTTCGCACAAGGGAGCTAGTATAACGGACTGTAGCTTGTGTGCATTGGGGACATCTTTCTCCAGGCTAACTCTGCACACACTGCTGCTCTCCTTCTGCCAACTTCAAACTCCTGTCTAACTTTCAGACTTCGTCAAACCTGCCCCTCAGGCTGGATATTGAACCAAGAGTGAGGTGGCAGCAGGGAGAGGAGAGGAGAGGAGTGGAGCGTTGCAGCTAAAGGCCACTCTGGAGAGGGCATCTGATGTGACCTATGCTGTCAGGCTGATCACATCACATCTGCCAACATGGCACAGATCAAAACTGGGAGATGCTTGCATCACTCCTTTCCACAAGCTGAGGTCCACAACCTTATTTCATCCAAAAGACTACCTGCCACAGGACGAAGAAAACTCCATTTGCTTAGCCAGGGCTGTTTCAGAAGACAAAGGGCAGCAAATTTTTGCTGCCCATTGACCTGACAACTGATGAAAACTGAAACAAGTTAGTGACCTTTTCGATCTAAATGTTATTTCTTGTAGTTTTGCTTAATTGCTTTGACATCGATGAGTTTTAATTTTCTATTTGAATTTGATAAAGGGCTGTAAGCTGCCCTGAAGGGAACTGTAGATGTGGTAGAAGTTGCAACATCCATCAACTTGAGCCCTGTAATTAAAGGTGTGGAATAACACCTGGAGTCCTGGGTTCAGATAAGGGATATCTGGCTCTGAATCCCTGGGAAAAAGCAGGACCTGCAACAAGATGTTTCAAGCATGGGTGTGTTTCCCTGCTCTTAGAGATTTTAGCTGACTATACTCTTATCTGCCATACTCCTTTCCATTCCTCAATCAAATATCAATGCATACATCAATCAAATATGCTCTTCTACAGTTTCTCCTGAAAGCCAGTGTGGTGCAGTGGTTAGTGTCAGAGTAGGACCTGGGAGACCCGGGTTCAAATCCCCCACTCTGCCATAAAGCACACTGAATGTAATGTTGGGCTCAGTTACTGTCTCTAAGCCTAACTTATCTCACAGGGCTATTGTAGGCGTAAAATGAAGAGGGGGAGAATTGTTGGAAGAATTGTTGATCTTGTTGGAAGAAATGGGGGGGGGTAGAAATGTAATAATAATTGTGATAATAATGATAATAATATTCATAAGAAACGTTTAGCATTTTTTTTCTTGATTTGCTTTATATACTTTAATTTCCCTCCCCCTCCCCAAACACACTGTAGCTGGAGGAATTTCTGCCCCTATCAGAATACAGGTGAACCCACTTACTTTTAATAAGAGGTGATACTTCAAAACTCTTTGCATTGGCACCACCAACAAGTCTTGCAGTTTAAACTTCCCATCCTGAACTTTCAGCGTACATTCCTGAAAGAGGGGGGAGAAAAGTGAGAACACTTTAAAAGAGAAAAAAAGAAAATGTTTTCAAAAGACTATCACTTCATGCTACTGTTAAGAAATTATCTAGTTTCAATTGCTCTGACTGTGGAAATCCAATTTGCATCTAAAAAACAATGCCTAGACTATCAGGGATCAAAGCTGAGCTCTTCCTTCATTGATGGCCATTAACATGGAAGGCTTCAGAAAAAGAATAAGGCTTTCAGTGGTGACTAGCTATGATGGCTATGCTATACCTCTACTTTCTGAGGCCCAGTATACCTGAAGGAGCATCTCCACCTGCATCGTTCAGCCTGGACACTGAGGTCCAGCTCCGAGGGCCTTTTGGCAGTTCCCTCACTGTGAGAAGTGAAGCTACAGGGAACCAGGCAGAGGGCCTTCTCGGTAGTGGCACCTCCCCTGAGGAATGCCCTTCCATCAGATGTCAAGAAAATAAACAACTATCTGACTTTTAGAAGACAACTGAAGGCAGCCCTGTTTAGGGAAGTTTTTGATGTTTTATTGCTTTATTATTATTATTATTATTATTATTATTATTCTGTTGGGAGCTACCCAGAGTAGCTGGGGAAACCCAGCAACATGGGTGGGGTATAAATACTGCTTGCAGGTTTCCCATAATGGGTATCTGGTTGGTCACTGTGAGAATTAGACTAGCTGGGACCCCTTTGGCCTGACCCTCTTCTTACACTTTTTCTAGCTTTCTACTTGGAGAGATCTCCTGCAACTGGTATTCAGAAGCACGCTGTCTCCAACAATGGAGGGAGAACACAGCTGTTGTGGTTAGTAAGCCAATGATGGCAATGAATTCATCTAATCCCCTTTCAAAGGCTGGCCACCCACTTGCTGACCTCTCCCCGCACCCACCAAAAACGCTCTGCACAGTCACCTCGATTTTCTGCTGAACATCTTCCCGGTTGGCCATGAGGTGATTCAGCGTGGTCTGTGCATATTCCATGTGGCTGCAGTACTCGCCATATATCAAGAGCCTACAAGGAAGAAGAAGGGGAAAGGATTTGACAACTGCTTTGGCTCTCTGCTTGGCTCATTTTGGCATGGCACACAGTCCAACCCTAGTTAACATTGGTGATGTGACAATCCCACTCCTGACACAAGTTTTAATATATTTTTACCTCTCCCTTCTCTCCAAAAGAGCCCCATGCAGAGTACATACAATCCATGCACTGGATTTTGGGGTGCGTTCTAGGTTCCAAGATTCAGGCTGGGATTGCTCTGGCTCCAGCTTCCACCCAATGCAGTGGTCCCCAAACTTTATGGAACCAAGTGGTTGCATAAACTGATCACCAGTGCCCACTACTCTAGAACCTTCATTATACACCTTTAGGCACCAGGCAAAAACTTTCCTCTTCAACCAGGCCTTTGGCTGATTAACATCTTATACCCCTTTTAAATGGGCTCATAGGAAGAGGCCGGGAGAGCAGGGATTACGGCTTTTTTGGTTTTGTTTTAATTATGCATTTTGTGTTTTTATATTGTATTTTTATGCTGTGAACCCGAGAGCTACAGATGAAGGAACGTATACAAATTTAATAAGCAATAATAAAAAATAATATCCTATCCTACCCTATAAAAAGCAATATTCAGAATAGTGGGCTGAAAAAAGAAAAGTTCTCCGCCCTTGTGTGACCTAAACTATCCAAAGGAGAAACCAGAAATCTTAGCCAGTATGAAACTGTTCCAGAATCTGGATTGTGTAAAGGGTGGAACACACACACACACACACACACACGCACACACACACACACACAAACTTGGGTGGACCTTTACATAATATCTTGCTCTCTTCTTGCATCACCTTCTTCTTGTTCCAGCCAATTTGGCCACATGCTTTTTTGTTGAAACAGTTTTCCTTGGGCGGCTCGTTGAGGGAGATAATTGGAGCCTTTGCAGTTTTTGTGCTGCCAAGCTTGACATGAATGCATTTTGGGGCCGGAACTTCGAAGGAAGGCCAGGATTTCAGTGCCAAACGATTCGGACAGGGACAGCTGGCATCAGAGTTGCACCGAAGTCCCTCTGATTAAGTTTCCAGCGGTCTTGCTGAAAACCTTCTTCACTTCTCTATAAATTCCTCCCCAGCCAGAGCCTCTGGATTCCCACCAGGACACAAGTCCCAGCTCTTGAGATCTTTCACCAGATGTGGATCAGATTATGCATGAGGTCAAGAGAATCACCCATCGCACAGTTCGGATGCCCCAGAAGGGGGGTGTGCGGAACACGCCTGGGATATGTTTCCTACTCTCATCCAAAGTTGCCCCCCCTTTTTTGTTCCTGCAAGGGGGGGTTGGGTTATTAGCTGTCAGTAGAGGACCCTCGTGGGTCCCTTCCAACTCTACAATTCTGTGATTGGGACTCCCACATCCTGCTTCCTTTGTGGTGGCAGGAGACCTGGGTTGAAATACAGCGATGTGCCATCAGTATGCCCCATGCAACTAATCATCTGGGGCTCTGAAAACACCTGGAGGAGGTTCCCACAAATCCCTGCCATGTTCTCTCTCTCCCTCCACCAATTGCCAGTTTCCGTTCCTCCTTTTTCTTTTACCTTTCCTTGAATTCTAGAAACACTTTGGCCAAGCTGCTCCCTCCAGACATCATGGAAACATCGATGGCTCTCAGGAAATTGAAGTGGACTTTGATGAGGTCCTGGAAAAGAAAGGAAAGGGGAAGAGATATAGTACCCAAAGGTTATGCCCACTTACAGTTGCGGAGCTTCATGCTCTGGCACAGTGGGGTGGAGACACTGGCGGAGGAAGAGGAGTGCGGGGGGAGCGCACTGCCCCTGGCAGAGCGATCCTGGTGGAGTGGCATTGTGGTTGCTCCCCCACCCGCACTGGGCACCACGCCCCACAGACGTGGACCACGCCCCCAGGATGTGGACCACGCCCCTGCAGGCAGCGCACCATGCCACCAGGACGCACACCAGCCTCGCTCCCACCTGCTCTCTGCCCCCAGTGCCGGAGCATGAAGCTCCGCCACTGGGTGCGTGTTCTGGGGGCATGGCACGCCACCTGTGGGGGCGTGGTGCCCAGCGCGGGCGGGGGGGGCAGCCGTGATGGCACCCCACCAGGATCGCACTGCCAGGGGCGGTGTGCTCCCCCCCACTCCTCTTCCTCCATCAGTGCCCACTTATGCGAAAGAGAATACAATTTACTTATTATTTAGAAGCAAAAAAGCTCCACTCAGGCCACCATAATTAACCACTCAAAAACTCTTAAAAGGAAGTCCTTGTGTGTAAAGTGAATTGTAAACTGCAGCAGGGTAAGACTTGAAACCCAGGTTCCTTAAATCAAGGAACTAAATCTGCAGCTTGTGTGAAGGAGGGGAGAAGAGATTTAAAGGTCCGGATCTTAGACAACATTACCTCCAAGTTAATAAATATTGCTTCCATCTCTTGTAGAGTCAAAACCAGCCTCAATGGATTCATGTAGTTCTGCAAAAGCGAAACAGAATAAGGTGGGAAGCATAGGCCACAACACCCAAATTCTACAGCAGGGGTGAGGGAGTCTAACATGCTCCGTCTCCCATATTCGTGCTGCTCATCGGTCTTGCTCTGCAGTTTCCTCAGGTGATTTTGCCTGGCTGGAAGGTGCCCTTGAACTGTTATCATGTCTCTTGCTTACCTGAATGGAGGATGTGCGTGTGTGTTTGTGTATCTTTAGAAACCTATGACTTGGAATATAGCTTACTGTACAAGGGTGAGAGCCATATCGTTTATTCTGCCACTTTTGTCTCTGGCCCCACCCGCCACTGTTGCATGGCCCTCAGAACACTGCCCACAAGGGAGTAAGAACTTGAGAGCCCTGCTGGATCAGGTCAAAGACCACTTAGTCCAGCATCTTGCTGTCACGGTAGCCAGTCAGATGCCCCAATAGGAAACCCGAAAGCAGGACCTGAGCACAACAGCAACACTCTCCCCACTTGAGATTCCCAGAAACTCAGAGGCAATGCTGCCTCCGAGAGTAGAGGTATAGCGTCAAAAGAGCCTGGCTGCTGGATCAGACCAAAGGCCTGGTCTTCTGGCTAACCAGAAGCCACAAACAGGACCAAAGTTGCAAGAGCAACTCTTCCCTCCTGTGTTTTCCAGCAACTGGTATTCAGAGGCACCCTGTCTTCAGTAGTGAAGAAGCAGCAGCAAGAGACCCTAAGCAAGGCTCTGTTGGATCAGGCCTGTGGCCCATCCAATAAAAGCAAACTGCTCCCACAGTGGCCGACCAGATCCTGCTATGGGAAGCCCACATGCAGGATCTGAACAAAAGAGCAACTCTTGCCCTAACTAAATATTCAGCGTACGAAACCTCTCTTTGTCCATCCATTTGATATATTTTTTTCTTTAGCCAAGGAATAAAAAACAAATTGTAAGTGGAGCTAATTTCGTGTTTTAAAAACATTAATGTGCTTACACTGTTGCTTAATCACCAGAGGGGAAAGTAATTGCTTGGCTCCTGGCTCCACATTATGCTCCTGAAGTCATCATCTTTACATACGTGTGTGTGTGTGTGTGTGTGTGTGTGTGTGTGTGTGGTTTTAAAGAATTCTGAAATGCGAAACCAAACCATAATTCATCAAAATGAATTAAAAGGCAGGGCTGGCGAGATGCGCCCACCCCCAAGATAAACGGCCCTGCTCCCTTATCATTTGAAGGCCATCAAAGGGAGGTAAGGGAAAGGGTCCTTATCAGAACGGTTGTGGAGCTCCTGCCCATCAGGAAGAGTAATGAGTCTGTTAAAAGCTGTCACTGGACTGGGCACGAGAGGGGGCTGGATGTTGGAGAGGAAAAAAAAACTTTTTGGCAGCAAGGACAGAAAAACAAAATCCTCCACCTCCTTTCACGATGCCTTCAGCTCCAGGGGGCGTTTTCCTTGAAGGGAGGGTGGTCTGGCTGTTTTAAAGTCTCCCTTCCTTCCTTTCCTTGTTTGTTTGCAGCATTTATCTCCCACCTTTTCCTCCAATGAGCTTAAGGTGGTGCATAGGTAGGTTGGGCCACAGGAAGGAGAGGGGGAGGGGGGGAGAGAAAGAGAGACTGGCCCACAAGGTCATACCTAGACCTATTCCCTATTGTCAAAATTTTGATTGTAAGATCCCCGTCGTAGAGCCCAAGCATCAAATGCACTGACATATGTAATGTAGCAATTTGCACTTGACATTCACCTTTTCTATGTCTTCGAGAGTCTTGTAGTATTTGGCCTCAGTTTCCTGGATCTCTAGCAAACAGCAATTCCTTTTGTCATCTTCTGTCATGCCCATTTTCTAGAGGGGAAAACATAAACACTGGCATGTTAGCATGTCTAAGCTGCTCGTTTTGATCTGAACTCAACAGAATGGAACTTAGGGCTTCAGGTGGACAAGGGAAGCTGTTTCATGCAGAGCCAGACCACTGGACTGCCTATGCTGTCAGGCAGCAGCAATCCAGGGTTTTAGGTGGGGGGGGGGTAATTCCAGCCCTGCCTGGAGATGCCATTGGGGATTGCACTGGGGCCACCTGCATACAAAGCAGATGCTCTACCACTGAGCTATGGCCCTTTCACTGAAAATACAGTAAGGTTAAAATAGGAATGAAGGAATCTGCCTTATCAGACCACAGTATAATGCCATCATCAGTAGCTTTGTCTAGCTAGACACACATGGGGCAGGACGTTCCCAGAAGCAGCTCCTGGATTAGGACTCGCCAACCTTCTTAGGCCCATGGGAACATTTGGATTTTGGAGGGACTGCTCTGGGTACTATTTCCTCTGGTCACTTCTACCCCACCCCACCCTCCAAAACCAGTCCTTCTCTTGCACACACTCCACTTTCCCAAGGGATCTGGGTAAAAGTTGGACCCAGTAGAATTAATCTCAGCCGTGAGCATATAGGGTTACTTGAGGAAATGGGAAAGAGGGTCACTCTGCCAACTTCCCCCTTCAACTTTATGTGCTCTTTAAGGGAGAAAATGATAGCTACCCTCATCACTTTGTGGCTAAGAGGGCAGTTGCAGGGTGTGCTGGAGCTTCTACTGCAGCTCCTTCTTGTCCTACCGCATTCTAAGTGTATGAATGAATGTTTTGTTTTGTTTTAATACTATCTTATGCTAACCAATGAATTGTTTTACTTTTTGAGGTGTAAATTGCTTTGTAACCTATTGGTGGCAAAAACAAAAACAAAAAAATCAGTTCATAAATAAATAGCCAGATCTATGCATGTTCCAAATGAGGCACAAAAGGCACCTGAGATGTCCATTTCCAAGCATGGAAACCTGGGCTTGGCACCATGGCACATGCAATGGATAAAAACTCTTTTCACTTATAGCCGGGAACACTTACCTGCATATATCTGATCTGAAGCATGGAAGGGGTACACAGGGAAAATCAAGAAGGGTTAGGACATTTTGCATCACAAATCACCCGTTTCATTTGGAATTCTAAAAATGTTTTTGCTGCACATTTTGGGGATAAGTTACAAAGGCTTGCAAAGGCTGCTAATATGTCTTAGGGATACTCATAAGAAAGAAAGAAGAACTTGCTGGATCATACCATAGGGGTTGCATCTAGCCCAGCTTCCTGTCCTCACAATGGCTAACCAGATGCCCATTATGGGAAGCCCACAAGCAGAACCTGAGCACAAGAGTACTCTTCCCTTCATGCAGTTTCTAGCAACTGGTATTCGGAAGCATTGATACATCCAACTGGAGGCAGAGCAGAGCCATCATGGCTAGTAGCCATACAAAAGCCCTCTCCTCCTCCTCCTCCTCCATGAATTTGTTTGGGCTGCATCAATAGGAGTATTGGGCTGCATCAATAGTATAGCATCTAGATCAAGGGAAGTAATAGTGCCACTGTATTCTGCTCTGGTCAGACCTCACCTGGAGTACTGTGTCCAGTTCTGGGCACCACAGTTCAAGAAGGACACTGACAAACTGGAACGTGTCCAGAGGAGGGCAACCAAAATGGTCAAAGGCCTGGAAACGATGCCTTATGAGGAACGGCTAATGGAGCTGGGCATGTTTAGCCTGGAGAAGAGGAGGTTAAGGGGTGATATGATAGCCATGTTCAAAAACTATATAAAAGGATGTCATATAGAGGAGGGAGAAAGGTTGTTTTCTGCTGCTCCAGAGAAGCGGACACGGAGCAATGGATCCAAACTACAAGAAAGAAGATTCCACCTAAACATTAGGAAGAACTTCCTGACAGTAAGAGCTGTTCAACAGTGGAATTTGCTGCCAAGGAGTGTGGTGGAGTCTCCTTCTTTGGAGGTCTTTAAGCAGAGGCTTGACAACCATATGTCAGGAGTGCTCTGATGGTGTTTCCTGCTTGGCAGGGGGTTGGACTCGATGGCCCTTGCGGTCTATTCCAACTCTATGATTCTATGATCCACGGTTTAACTATGCTCTGTGTGAATAAGGACTTTATCTGTCCTGAATCTTCCAACACGCAGCTTCGTTGGATGTCCACCAGTTCCAGTGTTATGAGAGGAGAGGAAAACTTTTCTCTGTCTACTCTCTCCATCCACAATCTATAAACTGAAAAGCCCCAAAATCCTCACTTTTGAAAGCAGCAGACTTTGCATGACTTTTAACACACCGCTCAAAAAAGGGGGAAAGGTGCCCCCCAGGGAGCGGAATATCAGGGCAATGTCTGTCAACACTTGCCAGAATCTAAAAATACTCTCAGGAGAAGACGTGCAGCTGGCTAATTGAGCCATCCATACATCCCAACTTTCTCAGCCTCAAGAGAGAAGATGTGACAGCTAGCCAGGGCAGGTTGTCATCTGCTTGCTATTTTTATGCCTCCCTTACACATTTATCTCACTCTCTCTCCCCCCCCCCTTGCAGAAGGCACTCCCCATACTCCAGATGACCTCCCAAAATGTTTCGTTTCCCCATCTAAAAAGCAGCAGAAGTGAAGGTTTAGTGTGCAGGATGACCCCAAAGAGAGGGAGGAAGAAGGTGCATTTCAAACAAGAACAAAAAAACTATTGGGTGTGGGTATGTCATTAGTGATGGGAATAAGAGACACACACCCCATTACAAGTGGCACATAAGAATCATTCTGCATTGGTAAGAAAACAGTATTTTAGTGTGGAAGCACCCACACTATCACTGATCTATTATCCATCACTGATCCACACTATCGCTAAGCTATGGCCCTTCCCCCAAATCATTCAAGTGGCTACCCACCGCCATCACAATTCTATTCAGATTGCTCCCCTCCTGATATTCAGTTCTAAAAACAGTAGCTAAGGGGACCACCCCAAAAAGTTATGAGGCTGAGGCCCTTCCTTCCATTGTCATTTGAGCATGCTCAGGCCTTCAATGATGCCCTCACCATGGGCTGCTGGACTTCCACTTTGATAATATCTTCGTAGATGTCATCCCCTTCATCTTCACATGGGACGCAGTCGTAGATGTCTTCCCCCAGATCGTGCTCGCTGGAACAAAACCAACAAGGGTTGTTTAGTGCATCAAAAGAAACAGAGCAGGCCACGCTCATGGTTAAGTGCAAAAAGTCGCACAGAAAATGTCAAATAAATAAAAGGTGGTTACGTGAACTGCAGCGTGACGGCAGCCATACATTTTTATGTATATAGGGGGGAAACCAAATGGTTAAACATATACCATATTTGCCTGAATATAAGCTGCACCCGAATATAAGCCGAACCTTTAAAAAAAATTTTTTTTTGGGGGGGGGGAGAGAGAAAAAAAGACAAAACCCAATATAAGCTGCTCCCTTAAAATTCCGCAGGCACTTACACCAATTCCATTTTACCATACGTCTGTTTCAGCAGCGATATTGTAAAAAAAGCCCATTTTTGTAAGGTCGTGAATTTAAGCTGCACTTTAACTTTTCATGGTCGGAATATGGTGCAGCTTATATTCAGGCCAATACGGTAAATGAATCTTGTAGATGGGCAACCTTCTGCATGCAGCATGCCAAGGGTGGGCAGGCCCAGAGGCACACATGGACAGAGAGCAACAAATGTGCCTCTTGGCTTTGTAGGGTAGGCTACATTCTAGCCGTGTCCTAGCCAGAGCTTTCTACACATGCACACACAACACAGCAACATCTCTCAGATGCTGAGATGGGCACAGGGGGCCCTCTTCGTAGGTCCTCCACCCTCAGAGACTGGGGGCAGGGTGGACCAGGGGGAGAGGGCCTTCTCTGTGGTGGCCCCTAAGTTGAAGACCTCCCTTCCCACAGAGGTGTCAATGTATGGCCAATGCATGCTTCTTTACCTTGGTCTTTGGCACCTGAGGTATGTGTGTTTTAGGATGCACCTTATTTTGTTATTTTAAGCAGTTTTAAGCTGTTTTTAATGTTGAGTTTCGATTTTTAACCAGCCCTGTGATCTTAGGGTGAAGGACAAATAATAAATTGTAACAACAACAACAACAATAACATGCTGCCTCTTTATTCTCCGTACAGGCAAGCAAGAGGCATTATCATAGTTCAAGGCTGAACATCTGCACATGGTTTTGTACTGGAAGACAACACTTTATGCTTCGTAATTATTATTATTTTTAAATCAATAAAGTTTGTAATCAATCATTCATTCAATAAAGGTGGCAGAAGTCCTTGAGGAGGGAACAGAGTAGGACTCATGGGGGATGTGGTCTGGGAAGGGGAAGGGCCTAGGAACACGCCCAAGGGCCAGAGAGCTGCATTCATTCTCTTGGCTTATGTTTTCCCCAACTCTGCTATATATCCAGAATTCATAGAAGGGGGCTTTTGAAGAGCATTTTTAGGGAAATCAAATTTGCTTAGTCTCCAGATTCTGTCTCCTAGCCGTCATTCCTGCACTGCAGGGAGTTGAAGTAGGGTCCCTTTGGGTCTCTTCCAACTCTGCACTTCTATGATTCTGTCCAGCAGTTGCCAAACCCCAATGTGGGGACCCACACCTTCCGGCAACTTCCGCAGCAGGCACTCAGCGACTTCTGATAGCAAAGGTTGGCTTTGAAAGCAAAGGTTGGCTTTGAACTCGGGATGTGAGCTTTGGCCTCCTGCTGAGTTTAAAGAGGGCACTGGCAGAAATTGCCTTTCTCTCCCTCCTCCTCCATCGCCACCAGCTCTTTGCAGTGAAAAATGGCACTTTGCCTTGCAAGCTGAGGCTCTGCGAGAGCTGTTTAAAAACAAAAACAGCTAGAAAGTGTTGGCTGGAGAGAAGACTCTCTGTCACACCCATTCCCTAGCTGCTTGTTAGGGGAATGATGGTCTCCTAATTGCCCAGATTATCTAGGGAGTAAGAGGGTCACATCACTGGCCAGCCATGATGAAGCTTATATTTACTCCTACCATTGGGGTCCCCTGGATGTACCCTTATCTCAATCCCATCTCTGGCTCAGAGAAATGCAGAAATAAAGGAAGCTGCTTTATATTGCATCAGGTCATTGGTCCATATAGCTCAGTACTGCCTGCACTGACTGGCAGTGGCTCCCTAGGATTCCAGACAGGGGATCTCCACATGAATATGCTGTTGGGGATTGAAGCTGGACTCTTCTGCATGCAAAACAGATGCTCTGCTCCTGAGCTTTGTGGCCTTAAAAATGATTCTAGTACTCGTGGTTCAAAATAAAGGGCTGAGTTGAATAGAACATAGGAAGTTGCCTTGTACTGAGTCAGACCATTGGTCCATTTAGCTGCATTGACTGGCAGCAGATTTCAGACAGGGAATCCTTTCCTAGCCCCACCCAGAGATGCCATTTGGGGATTGAACTTGGGACCTTCTGCATGCAAAGCAGGTGCATTACCACTAAGCTATCACCCTTCCCCATTCTTGGAAGACACAAGTGGGGAGGGGTGAAGAGAGAGATCACCCGGGCAGTCATTCTCCATGACTGTCCAGGACAGAGGACATGGCTTTTCCCAAATCGTGAGGGCCAGACAGAGAGGTCTGGAGGGCTATGCTTGCAGAAAACCAGGGGCAGGGAACCTTCTGCATTCCTGATCTTGTGCAACTACAACTCCCATCAGCCTCAGCAAGCAATGCCAGGGATGATGGTAGGAGTTGTGGTTCAGCAACATTTGGAGGAATGCAGGTTCTTCACACCTGCAGCAAACCAATCCACTCCAGTAAGATCAACGAGTCTGCCGTTAAATAATTTCAGTTGCTGGTTTGACAGTGGCAGATCTGAGCAGCATGTGAAGCCAGCCTTTGCTAATAGCTTAAGAACCTCGTGTGTGTGTGTGTGTGTGTGTGTGTGTGTGTGTGTGTTTACGGACTTCCTGGATGCTGCTGCCTCTGTTTGGTCACTTGCAGCATCCCCCTTTCCGTGCATCGCAACCCGTTCTTTTTGCAAAGGACAGCAACCGGGATGGGCTGTCAACTCTGGTTATATAGCAACCCAGCAATGATCGTTTTAGCATTTTGCCGCACCACACAGCAGAGCCCGTGGGTTAAGCAGCGCATCTCAGCTTGTCACTTGGGTTATTGTAGGGGACACAGCATTGGCAGTGGTGGGGTGGGGGGATACCCCACACACACACACACACACACACACACGACCTAAACTAACACAGTTTGGCTTGGAATGCTGGGAACTTCATATAAGTTACGGCAGTCAGCCCTGGAAAACTATTTCATACCCTCAGCTCTGGAACTGATCTGCAAGAGAGCAAATCAGCTAGAACTGCTGAGAAACATCTTCATCAAGTTCCTCCTTCAGCCATCATCCACAGCAGCTATTCCATCAGGCTGCATAGCAGGGAGAAAGAGGGGACCGGGGTGGGTGGGGACAGGGCTTCTCTCTTGCCGAAACATCAGTAACTTTCGGCTTCTCCTCTCCTTGAAATCTGCAATTCCAGCTATCTACTACAAGAACTCAGGAACGAAGGAAGAACCAGAGTCATTGTGATCTGGGGTCCTGGAGGAGGGGGCAGGTTAGAGACCTGCTACTATTTTTACAACTGGGTCCCGGTCTCCAGCATCTTGGAGCTGCCCAAGCAGAGCGAAAGGAGTTGAATCAGCCACTGAGGATCGGGTCCTTGGGTCACTCTGGAGAAGGTGCATGGGAAGAAGACAAATGCTCATGGGGGTGTGAAGCAGGGCTAGGAAGAGATGTGGTGTGGGGAGAAGAGTGTGTGGCTTGGGGAAATCCAAGGAAAAGAGAGGGGGGAGTGGAAGGCCATATTTAGACCATGGGCCTGAGGTTCCCCACTCCTATACCCAAATAAAAAATGAAACCAGGAACCAATAAAACCCTATGGCAGAATCCATTATTTGGTAGATACTTACTCAGCCAGCTCTTCCAGGCTCCTATAGACATCATCATCATTTTCTGTGGTCTCCTCTGAAGGGAATGGCCTGGAAAGTAAAGGGTGGGGAGATACAGAGAAAGTGTTAAGTCTACTAAGAATAAGAGTTGGGAAGACCTGGAAATATGAGAACATCTGCTTTACGTTATTTTTAAAAACAGGATAAGACAAGTAAGGAATGCAAATATGAGATCAATGCTGCTTCTCTGATATGCAGGTTAAAGTGGTTTGGAGAATGAACTTTTGGTTCCTACTCAGAGCCTCTGTATTCATGGAGACTAAAGCCATCAATGGTAAGGGGCCTTATGGAGAGCCAGTGTGGTGTGGTAGTTAGAGTGCTAGAATAGAACATGGGTAATCAGGGTTCAAATCCCTAATTAACCATGAAGCTCACTGGGTTACCTTTGGGCTAGACACTGCCTCTCAGCCTAACCTAGCTCACATGGTTGTTATGGGGATTACCGTAAATGAAGATGGGGAGAGCCATGTGCACCACCTTGAGCTAATTGGAGAAAAAGGTGAGATGGCAATGCAATTAATAATAAAATAAGTAATAAATAATAATAATACCAGCTGCTGGGAATCATAAATGGGGAGAGCTGCTGTTGCACTTAGGTCCTCATTGTGGGCTTCTCAATGGGGCATCTGGTTGGCCACTGTGAGGAACAAGATACTAAACTAGATGGGCCTTTTGGCACATCTTATGTTCTGAATGACACCAAATTCATGTCATTACATGGTAGAAGAAAATGTCAACTGTGCTAGATATACAGGAAGAGATCAGAATTTAAGATCCTCCATGACTCAATTTCCTGAACAAATAATGCAGTTCCTCATTGCCTGACGTTTCTGATGAATGCTGAACCACTTTCAAGGATTCTTGGGGTTAACAGTGTAAGAGGAGACCTGCTGGATCAGGGCAGTGGTTCATACAGTCCAGCATCCTGGTCTTACAGTGGCCAACCAGGTGCCTATAACCAGTGAAGAACTCGGACCGCCCCTTGTGGGTGAAGCCCAGGACCCAAAAGTTTGTGAAACCACCTCCCCCATCAAAACAAATGACCCAGGCAGTTGCAAACTGCTTTGGCATCATCACCATTCTTTTCTTCTTATTTTTTAAAAGCACTTTGTTATCAGGGGGTAGCGCTCTCGCTCTCTCATACAATGTGTTTAGCTTCAGAGGACTACATGTCCACCACCATGGAGAGGTGATGTCCTACACATGGGGAATTCAATTATTCTTGGTTCCCAAGGCAAGGCAAGAATCGGCACCATTGAGAGATACCAAGGTGTGAGTTCAGGACCATGGATAATGCTCCTGCAGAGGAGGCCAAACATCAATGTTGTTTTAGCAAAGCCCTGCTGCAACGGACTGGTTCTCAAAGCAGGGCTAAGTCATTGACTGAAGGATCCATCCACCAAAGCTCCTCTTCCTCCTCAGTTAAAGGATTGGTGCTGCCTTCTTCATCCATTGGCTCATCTGAAATAATGGGATTTCCAGTAGTGGGATCTCTACTCCGGACTCTGTCGATCCCGAGGAGTCTGTGGATGAGCCATCAGAGATGGGTGGTGGAGCTGTCTGCTCGGGGCGCAGGGAACAGCAGCAAGCTCTAGTGCCTTCTGGGCATCAATCCATCTCTTCCTCAGAGCTGTAGGTGCTTGAGGACTCTTACTGCTGAGGATTAATTTTCCAGGGGCCATGACAGATGTAGATGAATGCTTCTGGGGAAAACAAGGGGCCAACCCTTAAGTCAACTTGATTTCCTAAGCTTGCCTGTTCAGTTGGCTATTCAGGTGGAGCAGAGGGTTAATCAGCTTCGTTTCCTAGAACGCCAAAGGGCACTCCTTCAAAGGCAGAGCTAGGCTGGAGATAGAGAGGCAATGATGAGGAATTACTTACTGCAAGGTGGAATAGAAATCTCAGGGCCTGTCAGTCACCCTCTCGGCCTGAAGAACTTGACAACTTCCTTTTAATTATTGAAGAGATGGTTCTTGATGCCATGTCCCAGTTGGTCAAGTCGGTGCACATCTGCATGGCAGAGCTGTACACTAAATCCCGCTTCATGCATAAATATCCGGTTGTCAAAGCAACCAGGCATGTGGCAGCTGCCCCCAAAGGCCCTACAGGTCTTTAAAGACTCCCCAGCAAACCATTTCAGAGTTTTTCTTCAGTTGATGTGCCCCAGAGATACGTCTGCCATCCATGTAGGATATCCTTCTTGGAGAAGGGGAACGCCACTACTCAGTCATTATTGTTACTATTGTTACACAAAAGTTGTATACTGCTTGATACTCTGCCTAAAATATTGATTTCTTACAAATGAAGAATGAGCATTATGTGGCACTTGTAAGAAGCCAGTTACGTTGATCAAAGTGGTTGAGTGGGGGCATATGGGGTAAGACTACCTTATCGATCTGCGTCTCTTACTTCCAAAATGCTTTCCTTTGTGGAATCTGTTTTATTAGGATGTCTGCAAAATTGTACTACACCTTCTGTTTATTTTATCTCAACTGCAATAACATGCCCCACACAACCGTCATTCTTTGTTTCTTTATGGTTTGTAAGTTGTTGTTTTTTAAAACTCAGCAAACACATCTTTTTATTACTATAGTTATTATTATTATTATTATTATTTTATTTATACCCCGCACTTCCCAGTTTAAAAACCAGGCTCAGGGCAGCTAAGAGCAAATATAAAACACTGATTAAAATGTGACTTAAGGACAGCATAAAACAGCATAAAATACAACATAAAATGCAGCATCAATATCAATAAAATTCAGGGGTCGTTTGAGGGGGGGGACCCCAGTCAGTAGACATCAAATGATCACTGGGGCTAACTGGCCAAGTTGGTCCTATTAGGACCAGCAAGGAGATCAGGGAAGAATTTAAATGTGGGGTCCCAGAAAGGGTTTCTTCATAGAAGAGGAAAGGGAAAAGGGAATAGAGGATCAGGCTAATTCAAACTGAAGGCCAGGCAGAATAGCTCTGTCTTACAGGCCCTGCGGAAGGAGATCAAATCCTGCAGGGCCCTAGTCTTGTGGGACAGAGCATTCCACCAGGTCGGAGCTGTCACTGAAAAAGCCCTGGCCCTGGTGGAGGATAGTCTGGCTTCCATAGGGTGCGGGACCTTTAAGCTATTATTATTCATGGACCTTAGGGTCCTCTGCAGGACATACTAGGAGAGGCAGTCCCGTAAGTACGAGGGTCCTAGGCCTCTTTTAAAAGATGAAAAGGCCTGGAGGCTTTGCATGTAGCCAAAGGAGCCCATCCAGCCCAACATCCTACTCTCACCATGGATAAGCAGATGCCTCAATGGAAGTTCTAGTAGCAGGACATGAGCGCAACACCGTATGCAGAAACAGAAAGACTCTCCACACTTGTGATTTCCAACAATGGCATTCACAGTGGAGGTAGACCCTGCCTACCAAATCAGGCCCTCTGTTCTCACAGTGGCCAACCAGGTGCCTCAATAGCGAGCCCACAAGCAGAAAGTGATAGCAACAGTGGTCTCCTCACTTGTGACTCCCAGCAAGTGGTTTTTCAGAAGCATTACTGCCTTCAACACTGGAGTTAGCATGCAGAACCTAAGGAGAACCTATCTGGATCAGGCTAGAGGCCAGCATCCTGTTGTCATGATGACCAGCCATATGCTCATTAAGGGAACCCCAAAAGAAGGAACTGAGCACAATAGCACTCTCCCCTCTTGTTCTTTCTGATGACAGGCACCCAGAAGCACCCTGCCTCCATTGTTGCTAATTAAAGGGTCAAATGACCTAGGGATGGCCTTCTGCATACTCTGCAAATGGGAACTACAGTAAATTCCAGCTCCCACAAATGGTGTGATGTGCCCTGAATCTACTGTGTATCCATTTCGTTGTGGAGTGGAATAGACCATATTTCATAGAACTGTGTTGACACTCTGGAGAAGACTAATCCCGCCATGGCGCAAGTAATGGAGTCCCCATACCATTTGTTTCTTCCTCCTCCCCCTCCCCCTCCCCCTCCCCCTCCTCCTCCTCCTCCTTCCTGGACCTTTCTTACACTGCAGGGATTTTTTGTTAATTAGAGAATGAGAGAAGAGAGATTGGCGGCTCAAAAGGTATTACACACCAGTACTTGTTCCCAATTAGCCAAGCAAGCACCTCTGTGTAATTACAAGTGCTGGGTCATCATCCATAATTTTTCTGTCCCCTTTTCTTTGCCTGCAATGAGCATTAATCATGCCACATAAAAAGCAGGCTTACTTGTAAGTGGTATTCTGACCCCACTTCACCCAGGTGATCTCCAGTTCATAATTCTCCCTTTCCTGCAGCCTAAATTTCATCATACATGATTAAAAATCTCCAAGAGGTGCTATTCTGGATTCAGAAGCATGAACTTTAAACCCGTGCTCCCCACCTCCATCTCCAAGTAGGAACACAGGAAGCTGCCTCCTCCTGAGCTAGACCATTTGTCTATCTAGCCCAGTATTGTCTACACAGACTGGCAACAGCTCTCCAGACAGGGGTCTTTTCCCAAACCTGCCAGAAGATGCTGGGGATTGAACCTGGGAGGGTTTTGCTGATTATGCTACCACCAAATATGGTCCATTGGCAAGGCTCTTTGGCAGCAGAAGTCCGAGGCTGGGAAATATTCTCTTCTCCAAGCTGTGACTTACCGTATTTTTCGCTCTATAGGACGCACCGGACCATAGGACGCACCTTGTTTTAGAGGGGGAGAACAAGAGAAAAAATTCTTCCCCTCTCTGCTCAGCACCCCTTCAGCGAAGCGGCAGGAGAAACGGAGTGGCAGTCTTGCTCTCCTGGCTTCAACAAAAGGAACCCGAAGCCTGCGGAGCGCAGTGGGAACTCACGCTGCGCTCCGAAGGCTTCAGGTGGCTATCCCTGAAGCCTGGAGAGGGAGAGGGGTCGGTGCACATCGACCCCTCTCGCTCTCCAGGCTTCAGCAAAAGCAACGCAAAGCCTCCGGAGGGGGGAGGGAGCGCTCCCTCTGCGCTTTGGAGGCTTCGCATTGCTATCGCTGAAGCCAAGGAGCCTGCATTCGCTCCATAGGACGCACACACATTTCCCCTTAATTTTTGGAGGGGGAAAAGTGCGTCCTATAGAGCGAAAAATACGGTATTTCTTTGCCCAGCATTCTGGAGAATTTACCCCCACCCCTTGAATGTGTTTTATTCTGCTGATAGGCTGTTTGTTCTATATTTCATTATTTTTACATTTATATCCCACCTTTCCTCCAACAAGCTCAAGGAGCTCCACACAGTTCTCCAACTTCTCCACCTGTTATCCTAACAACAGCCCTGTTAGGTAGCTTAGCTAAGAGACAGTGACTGGCCCAAGGTCACACCCAGTGAGTTTCACAGCTGAGCAGAGATTTGAATCCTGGCCTCTCCCAGACCGTAGTCAGACCCTCTAACCTAGTGGTTCCCAAACTTTTCAGGACACCCACCCCCTTGGTCCCATAAATTCATCACCAGTGCCCCCTACCTTACCCTTTGAAAAGCCTTATTCAGAATAGTGGTTTGCATGACCTACCAAGGAAGATAATAGCACAATAAAATTCAAAACAGTGACCATTAATTGCACTTCTATTCTAAATTCCATTTAGTTTAACTAACTCAACAAAATGAATGAACTTGATTCAGTGATACCACCTTTTCAAAGTCTAATAGTCATTATCTCTAGCATCTCCTTGCCTCTTGGTGCCCCTTCAAGTAATCCCACCACCCTCCGGTGGATGGTATCACCCACTTAGGGAAGCAATGCTCTAACCACTACACCACACTGCCCCCCTATGTTGACATTTTAGAGCACGTATTTCCCTGACACACTTTACTGAAAGGCTACTAAATATTCCAAGCTGAATTTTGCAGAGCTGGAGAGGAAGACACGTGTGACATTGTGCATGACTACAGCTGCAGTGTATTAAGACTAATCATAGCAGCACAAGAACAGTGGTTCATTAGAAACGGGTCTTTGTCGCATTGTGTCGTTCACAGCTTGAGCTCTGGAGAATAAACCCCCCTCTTTCCCCAATGAGATATATAGACAGCCGCTACCTGCACAACTCTGAACAGCAATTCTATCCTCTGAGGTTTAAATAATTGCATTTACAAAATATTAAATTTTAAAACAGAGCAATACAGAAAATTGAGGATGTTGTGCATCCTAGCCCAAATCTCGCCGTTATGGTCTAGTTCTGTGCTGAAATCTCCCTTCTGGTTTCGTGAAAGTGTTCTTCCACTGAGAAAGAAGCTTCCAGGTTTTTTTTCTGCCTTGTTCTCAGGGGCACATAAGGAGTTTTTAAGAATATCAGAAGAGACCTGCTGGACCAGGCCTATGGCCCATCCATTCCAGCATCCTGTCCTCACAGGATGCCCGTGGGATCTAGCTGGTTTTAAAAGAGGATTAGACAAATTTGTGAAGGGCAAGGCAGCAATGCTTATGAATACCAGTTGCTGGAAACCACAGGAGGGGAGAGGACTCTTGTGCTGAAATCCTGCTTGCAGGTTTCCTAAAGGCATCGGGTTGGTGCATGACGAATTTGAGCTCTTAATACAGGATGGCAAATATGACCTAGTAGGCATTACTGAGACCTGGTGGGATGAGACACATGACTAGAATGTAGAAATGGAGGGGTTTAACCTGTTCAAAAGGAATAGCTCAAACATGAAGGGAGGAGTAGGAGCATTATATGTAAAGGATGCGTACACTTGTAAAGAGATCCTGGACCTGGACCTGAGAGTATTTGGGTAAAAATTGTAGGAGAGGAGGAGAAAACCCCCCAATGATCTTACTGTGGGTGTCTGCTATATATACCTAAGCCAGTCTGAGGACCTGGGTAATGCCATCCTACAGCAGATTCCCAAACATCCAAAAAGGAGACTTCAACTACCCAGATATCTGTTGGAACTCAAACCAATTCCTCCAAAGCTTTGCTGACAATGTCAGAAGGTGGAAGAAGCAATAAGGCCATAATCTATATTGGACCTGGTCCTCAATAACAGGGAGGAACTGATTGACAAAGTGGAAGTACTGAGAACCTTGGGAGAAAGTGATCAGTTCCTCCTGGGTTTCATGGTACAGAGGGAAGCTAAGTGTAGTCGAACATGGACACTGGAATTTAAGAAGGCTGGTTTCAAAAAGTTGAATGAACCAATGAACTATTGGGTGAGATCCCATGATCAGAAATACTGAGAGAATACTGAGGGGGAGTCCAAAATGGATGGGGGTTTCTTAAAGGTGACTTGTGCCCTGTGCAGCTTCCTTGAGCTGACTCCAAGCATTGCTTATTTATTTCAGCAATGATAGGCAGCCTTTGAAGATCCGAGTTTAGAATAAATGGAGGCCACACTTGGGTTTGTGCAGGGCAGGCAGGCAATGCAGGGAAGGGTGAGGAGAGGAGGAGGGTGGGTGGGTTTTCGTCCAACCCTTCTGGCAGCTGATCCAACAAGGCAGCGGGAGTGTTAGTTCCTGGGATGAAAGGCATTGTTTGCAAAGACCAGATCTTTGTTGCATGGGATTGCAAAAGAAACTTTCCACTCCCCAAAATTGGCTGTCCAGGGATCAAGTGTGAAAAGGGTTTTTAAATGTCTGGAAGTTGCATTTGTTGGCCAAGGAAAGAGGAACTGGGATTACTCATCCATGAGAATGATGTGAGGGGGTGCAAAAATCTGGAGGTTCCAGTACCTGCTGGAGGAAGAATATAATATAAGCTGGATCAGGCCCATCTGGTCCAGCATCCTGTTCTCACAGTGGCCAAGCAGATGCCCCAATGCGAAGAAGCCCAGAAGCAGGACTTGAGTGTAATAGCAACTCTCCCCGCTAACTGGTATTCCGAGAGCATGGGAAATTCTGGTGGAGGGATTATATTACTTTGACACACACACACAAAGGTAAATGGTAAAGGAGCCCTGGATGGTTAAGTCGAGTCAAAGGTTGCAGCGCTCATCTCGCTTTCAGGCCAAGGGAGCTGGTGTTTGTGCACGGACAGCTTTCTGGGTCATGTGGCCAGCATGACTAAACCGCTTCTGGTGCAACGGAACACGTGATGGAAGCCAGAGCGCACGGAAACGCTGTTTACCTTCCCGCCACAGTGGTACCTATTTATCTACTTGCACTGGTGTGCTTTTGAACTGCTAGGTTGGCAACAGCTGGAACTGAGCAATGGGAGCTCACCCAGTTGTGGGGATTCAAACCACCGACCTTCTGATCGGCAAGCCCAAGAGGCTCAGTGGTTTAGACCACAGCACCACCCACGTCCCACCTACACCAAAATCACCAATCTGCTTCACAACACCAAAGCAACCCCTCCCCCATCTTCACAGGTAAAGGCACCCCTGACCATTAGGTCCAGTTGTGACTGACTCTGGGGTTGCAGCACTCATCTCGCTTTATTGGCCGAGGGAGCCGGCGTACAGCTTCCGGGTCATGTGGCCAGCATGACTAAGCCGCTTCTGGCGAACCAGAGCAGCGCACGGAAACGCCGTCTACCTTCCCACCGGAGCGGTACCTATTTATCTACTTGCACTTTGACGTTCTTTTGAACTGCTAGGTTGGCAGGAGCAGGGACCGAGCAACGGGAGCTCACCCCGTTCAAACCGCCAACCTTCCCATCAGCAAGCCCAAGGCTCAGTGGTTTAGACCAAAGCACCATCCGCATCTTCACAGAGAAGTCAGCAATTATACTTAAGAAAACCTGTTCTGCAGATTTAAGGAAACAATTTTGAAAATGCAGCAACTTCAAGCAAAATGGAACCCCTTACCTAATTCCTTTGTTTTGAGCGATGCTGTGATGAGATAGTCTGGAGACTGCCGATATCACCTAATGAAAGAGAGACAAGGATGGGTGTTAGAGACAGATGCAGTTCTAGAGTCAGGTAACAAGGCTGTTATTGTCATGCAAGAAAGTCTCAGGTGGGAGTCGCATTTAAGGATCTGTTTCCCCACCTGTTAGAAAAGAATTTATTTAATTTTGGTATAATTGCAAAGCCGTTGCTCATCTACAAAAACAATGATTACGTCAAGGAACTACATATAAGTTTTACTCAGAATAGAGCCATTGAAGTTAATGAAGCTAAGTTCATTAACTTAGGAGGGGAGGGCAGTTGCTCAGTGGTAGAGCTTTGCAGACAGAATGTCCCAGGTTCATTTCCCAACGGCATCTCCCTGCCTGAAACCCTGCAGAACTGCTGCCAGCCAGTGTCAGCAAAACTAAGCTAAGTGGACCTAGGGGCAATTCAAACTGTCTTTCTGATCATCTCTTTCAAAGCAGCCGCCATAGTGAAGCATCAATTAACTTTTCTTTTTGCCTTATGAGAAAGACCACATTTAAAAAATAATAATAAATAAATCAGTACATATAACGGTAACAGCGTTTTACAAACTCACAATCAATAAATAAACATGGCTGCATTGTCCTTTTCATTAGTAATTCATACACAGTATGCAATTGCATAACCGCCCGCCCTCCCACCCCCACCGCTTGAAGTCCACAGTGATTATTCACTAGTAGATCACTTATTTTCCTCTGCCCTCCCGCTTCTTCTTCTTCCTTTTGTGTCTTGTTAAGGCTGCAAGCCTGAGGGCAAGCAGCCCTGTTGCTGTTTTTATTGATTCGCAAGCCACTCTGGGAGCTCTTTCCTGCAAAAGAGCAGGGCGTTTTTAAAATAGGCTTTGAATAAATAAAATAAAATAAAATAAAATAAATAAAATAAAATAAAATAAATAAATAATAAATGTCCCAAATTGAAACTAAAAATCTGAATATAGCGAAAGGAGGTATTTTGCTAGGCAAGGATGGCATGATTCTCACACATGCTGAGAGGAGATTTGGACAGGGATGGAGTCTTCCACAACTAAGCCTTATGATGAATGGTTGAAGGAAATGGGTATATTTAGCATGGAGGGGAGAAGACATCTTCAAATATCTGACGGGCTGTCACATGGAAGATGAAGCAGGCTTATTTTCTGCTGCTCCAGAGGGGAGAATCCAAATCCAAAGGAAGAAAGGAGACTCTGACTAAACACTGGGAAGAACTTTCTGACTGCAAGTTGTTCAACAGTGGAATGGGCTCCCTCGGAAGGTGGTGGGCTCTCCTTCATTGGAGTTCTTTTGATAGCCATCTACCAGGAATTCATTGTAGCGGGGTTAACATACAAACATAAGAAGTGTCTGCTGGATCAGGCCAAAGGGGGGCCCATCTAGTCCAGCATCTCATTCTCATAGTGGCCAACTGGTTCGCCACAAGCTGGATTCAAGCACAAGAGCAGCACTCTCCCCTTATGTGGTTTCCAACAACAAGCATTCAGAAACATTGCTCCAGCTGTGGAAGCAGAGCCTAGCCATTATGGCTAGTAGCTGTGGGTAGCCGCCTCCTTTTTCTTGAATTTGTCCAATCCTCTTTTAAAGTCATCCAAGTCGGTGGTCATCAATGACTTCTCTGGGAGCGAGTTCCACAGTTTAACTATGCGCTGCTGGGTTAGACTAGATTACCCTTGGTATGCCTTCCAACTCAACAATTCTATGACTCTTTGGGATGACATGGAAGCAAAGGAGTTCTCCTTATTGACCCCTTCCTGGCCAATAGGGGAAGGGAAATGTGAGAGGGGCTCTGTGTCTTTGTGACTGGGAAATTGTTCAATGATCACCTGTGCCTGCCTTCACCATTAGACCCATCATTACCACTCCTGTGCCTAACTGGAGTTAATGGGCTGCATCCAATATTAGTCCTGCTCAAGTGCAGCCACCATCAAAATAACTAACGTAGGTTCATTCATTTCTATGGGTCTTTTCTAAGTAGAACTGATGGACCTGCATTAGTCATACACATTAAAGCAAAAACTGAACACATCTGAAGGCAGCACTGTATGGGGACGTTTTTAATGTGTGATGTCTTGTTGTGTTTTAATTTGTTGGAAGCCTCCCAGAATGACTGGGGTAAGCCAGTCAAATGGGCGGCATATAAACAATATATGATGATGATGATGATGATGATGATGATGATGTCTACACTGAATAAAGGTGTATGAAGTGTCAGGGAAGAGCAGTTCCTCTGATGGGGACGGGACACGTCATGTTCCTTCTGGGGTAGTGTGTCCACCTTTGGTTTCCACCCTGCATGCAGTTCTCACCTGTGGCTCCTAAAAGTTGTCAGCATATGACAGCAGCCACACCCTGGGAAATGACTTTGACTGGCCAGCTAAACCAGGTGGGTCTCAAACCCTTAGTAAATTAAAGACTTCCCCTGCATGTGAAGACAGGCTCCAGTGGACGAAGCAGACCAGACCAATAGTCAAGAAGGCAGCTTCTGCATGTCCTGTAGAGGGAAATGAGGGGCAGATGGGGCTCATCAGCTTGCAAAGGGAGCCCATCTCAGAGAAGGAAAATTCTAATCCTAAACCTCCGCTGCCTTGTGGAATATCTTCAGGAAAAGGCTAAGGATTAAACCCACACAAATCTGGATTAGAATCCCTAAGACGTTTGGATGGCGCCTTGTATTTCTGCAGCCAAGCTGGTGCCAAATGTATTGCTCTGCTTTCCTTTGCACTACATCAGTGTGGCTGAGGGAGGGGGGCCTTGTTGTCTGGGCAGCCCAGGACCTCCACACACAATGCCCAGGCTTGTGCCCCCACCCCGTGAAATCACTTCAGTGCTGCTAATGCAGGAGTTTGACCTCACCCCTGGAGGCACACTCCATTGTCTCTCAAGACAGACAGATGCTAACAATTACTCTGAATAGAGCTAATACAGTGGACGCTCTGGTTGCGAACATGATCCGTGCAGGAAGCACGTTCTCAACCCACAGTGTCCACAATGCTCAGCACCCCGTCTGCGCACACACAGGTCGCAATTTGGTGCTTCTGCGCATGTGCAAGCACCGAAACCTGGAAGTAACCCGTTCCAGTACATCCAGGTTTGGCGCAGTGCGCAACCCGAAATCACGCAACCCGAAGCATCTGTAACCCAAGGTATGACTGTACTGGATGTTTTATTTACTTTTATTTCATAAAATTTATACAATGTATGCTGGTTTTTAACAAAACTTCAAAGCAGTTTACAAAGAGAATAAAACAAAATTATCAGCAAAAGCAGTAAGAACTCTTCAAAATGTTTTTTAAAAATAAAATCTGCAAAAAACTTTTTAAAAAAAAGATTAAAACATGCACCAGCATTCTACATATCTAGGCAGTCTTGGCTAAACCAAAATGCTTTTAGCAGATGCTGGAAAGAGTACAGTAAAGAAGCCTGCCCGATAGGCAGGGAGTTCCCATGTGTAGATACTGCCACGCTAAATCACAGAATTTTAGAGTTGGGAGGGACTGAGTTATGGGTATAGGAATGGGTATTATGTTGCACCTGTATAAGTGCCAGTTCAGTTGAAAGCGATTAAAAAGAGCTGCACAGGACTGTCCATTCAGATAGATTATATATAGATCTATTTATGTATGTATATATTTGAAGATAACATCCAAGGGATAGCCTGAGATGTAAATCTTCCCCCCTCTCTCTCTCTCTCTCTCTCTCTCTCTTTCTTTCAGGGAACTGTGGGTTCTTTTCCACAACTCCCTGTAAATAACAAGGGAAAAGCCATCCCTTCTGTTACATCTCGAGAGTGCTATCACCACATGGACATAGCTGTCACTCAGCATTTGTTAAAGGGTCAGACCTTCTGACAGGCTTATTAAAGAGAAGAGATCGATTCTTGGACAGAGTTAAATTTACCAAGCAAGCAGAAAGGAGAGAAGGAAAACAATGATCTGACCTACAAAAACAAAACAAAAAAAGATAAAGAAGGAGAGAGGTAACAGGCCAGAGGCAAGCCCATCTGCTTTTTGCTCAGACTTCCCCTGGTGTCTCTCTCTTAGGGAGACACAGCCACAAAGTACAGCCACAGCCCACATCATCTCAACCAAACTGCTCAAAATTTAGGCGTGATGACAGTAGTCCTGCCCTTTTAAATGAGGGGCCTGTGTGGAATCACAGAGGAGGGAAGGAGGGGGGTCTGGTTTTATGCGAGAGAGAGAAGGAGGGGAAGATGCAAGGGAGAGATTGGGAAGAGAATTTTGGAGCGGTTCTCGTTTTCATGCAGACCTCTAGCCAATTTATACTTGCTTGAACCAATAAAGTGAAGCTAAACTTAAATCAATTTTGTTGCTCTTGTGCCTGGGTCCTGCTTGCAGGTTTTCCATCGAGCATCTAGTTGCCCACTGTGAGGACAAGGTGCTGGATCATGAGAAGCCTTCAGCCTAATCCAGCAGGGCTCTAATTATATTCTACCTCCACCACTGGAAGCAGCAAGACTCTAAAGGCCAGTTGCTGGTGATCACAAGTGGGGAGCATGATGCTGTTGCACTCAGTTCCTGTTTTTGGGCTTCCCATTGGGGTATCCTGTTGGCCACTGTGAGTACTGGATGCTGGGCTACTGGCCTGATCCAGCTCTTCCTATGTTCTGCAAAAGGCCCCAAACCCCACACACCTACCTGCTTGATTTTAATACTTTTCATAACATCTTCAGTTTGAATCAACCAGGACAGGTGGATGGGTGGGTGGGTGGGTGTACATACCTTTTTTTGCACAGGTCTCCTGCCTTTAACCATGAGCACCCACTTCCAACTCAAGCAAAAGTGTTTTAAGCAATTCAGTTTTGCAGCCCTGTCAACCACATCTTCTGTTTGCACAACCAGTTCTCAGCAGAGGCAAAAGATGCAAGGCAGAAATTTGTCATGAAGAAACATACAAGGCCCTATGGAAGGGGAACCTCGGTTTGCCCTTCCATGAGCTTGCCCTCCTGTGACTCTGAGCATGCCTGACACTTGGCGTGG